GTGCCAGGCTTTTACATGTGTCACAGTAATTCTATGCACCTATGACCTTTACAAGTAACCCACTGGGACTAAAATTGAATTTCTACTTTCTGACATCACCCTCTGAAATTGTCTGATAAAGAAAACTGATTGATGGTTAAAAAGTCTGTAACACTGTTGTATATTATGTCTGTTTACATAGTACTATGTTTATGCTGTCTTTATCAATTCTCTTAGTAGTAAAGTAGCATATAATATCTTACTATATACTTTGACTTGCATCACATATACGATACACAATACAAATGTACACTTTTGGTTTGATCCACACACGGATATTTTGTTTGAAAATCTGTATGGTAGCTTTGATACTGATAGGGTTTGTGTTATGGGGTGAAAGTTTCCCTTATTACTCTCTGGTTTACTGTATGTAGTTGTGACCTACATTTGCCCACTACATGTAAGTGTTCATTAGTTAATGGAGCAGCCTGTGATATATGTAGCCTTTTGCTGTGCATGTTATTAATCAAGCAGCAGTATATCACACCTTACTGTAGAATGTGCTATTTTTCTAAAATCTGAGTCATGAGTTGACAAAAAGGCTCAATTGAATACTATAAATCATGATTTTTTCGCGGAACTGATGAATTTCATAGTTTCTGGAATAACACACACAAATCTTCTGTACCGCGAACTTACCATTACTGTGAACAAATAATTTGCCAATTTTTGCTGCACCTGCCAGCACCGTGGACCGTGGACGTATAGATCTGTGAACATGTTCATTTTCCTCAGACTACAAACTTTTGCTCCCATGAACATAAAGTAATCTACAGTGAGTATTGAAGATTCCATGATAGAGAATGATAAAAGATTCAAAATGTGATAATAAGGAAGTATTACGATTGTAATATGTCAGTCACATTTTTCACACAATTCATTCAGTTTTGTTGCTATGTGATAAACTCAAAACCACATGTTGGAAACACCTTATTAATATTTCGCAGACTGTGTAATGTTCCGCTACCTGTTTTTTGTCAGGCACCAGTGAGGACAGACTGATGGATGACGTCCAGGATGTGTGTTTACAGGGATGAATTGTATCCCTCTGTTCTTGTTACACCATCAGGACATAAGTTGTGTTGTGATTTATGAGAATACATTATAGTCTGGCTATGCCTGAGGCTGATTAACCGATGAGTAAGTTAGTGTCTGCTGACAGACAAAACTCCGAACACGTTTATTGATGCAGTACTTCTTAAGTAAAGTAGGAACATTGATCTCTCTGAAGTGGCTTCATTATTTTGCAGGTTGAACCAGTGAAGAGTTTTTGAATGCCTCTGTGAAAGTGATATTATAGTGATTTATCGTGACATTTCATTTTTGCCAATGTAGCATAAGTCATCTCAGCTTTAGGTTGCAACCTGCTTGAATGGATTGTCCCATTCTTGCCCAGGGGGTCCAGAATGGTAAATTGGTTTTCTGTATTTCAGTGATAGTCCATGTAAGTAGAAAATATTATACAATTTCACTGTCATCAGGATACCAGTCATGGTACCAGTATATTATCAGAATATCAGCAGGCAGCATGTTACCAGTATATTTGATTTTATTACATGTATATTGGCAAAATATTTTCCATATTGTTGGAGATATTATATAGGTTTCATTCCCCTCTCACAACCAGCAATATTTGTCAGGTATTTTAAGACTGACACTCCCAGTCAACCAGCCAATTTAGTCAACTAATTCACAGCTAAGCCCATCATTACCCAACCTGTATGTGCTATACATGAAATAAGCGCAATGTGCCAGACATGGCTTTTTCTCTTGATATGCTTTAAAACTTGCAAGGCAGCATTTAACCATAAATAATGGTCAATCTTACCAAATATGTTGAGATAACTGCACACTAAAAATGTTGGGTGCTGAAGTATGCGGCTGCTGGATACTTGAAACTTGTCGCCAAATTTTTATGTAGAGGTTAAGTGCCTCTGCAATCGAGTGTGTTCAGCTGAGTGGCTGCCTGGAAGCCATTGGCCAAAGGTGTAGGCAATTGTTTGCTAGGGTAAATATTGTTGTTTGCACTGGTCGCCGCCACCATGCCACGTAAACTTGGGCCGTTACAACACATCAGAGGAATGGAACGTGGTGGTGGGAGTTAGCTGACGGTGTCGGGTGGAGGTTTCCCCTCGTGTGTTCCTGTCGTCCTCGTGTGCTATGGTGGTGCAATGTGTCCCCGCGTCCCCGGGTAGAACAATGACAAACCCTACAACATGTACCGGTACTTCAACTGAACCCCAGAACAATCTGGACAGTTGTACTCAAGAACTCTGCAATGTGTGGTAGGTACTGTGACAAGGTGTAGTGTTTCCTATGGCAAGGCTCAGAGATTACCTCATCCCTTCTGCTCTTTGTTCCTGTATAGCGTACCATGTAAGCACAGTCCTTTTTTCATCGTAAACCAATTTTCCCTATAGCTATACCCGTGTGTGCATGGAATTCTGTTTGGAGAATAGAAGGAATTCGGATTGTCAATTTAGGAAATGAATCCGGAGACTGGTGGGGATTGTAGATTGACAGTTACATCATTTATTTGCCAGGGGTCCGTCCACTATTTACTTTGCCTGGGTACAATTAGTGATTTGTTAGCGACTCCTTTTGAGGATTCCTAGGTTGGCTAGGTGCTAGGGCGGCCGGGTTCATGTCCGTTACGACTGTTCCAGACGCTGCCTGAATGGGGTTTGTTTCCCCCTTGTTCTCCGATATGTTGACACTGTGGAATGATTATCCAGATCTTTTGTGTGGCTGGTGTTGTATAGAAATAGGATGTATCAGTATTGGTTTGAAATTGGATATATTGTGGTTTGTTTGGCTCGATACTCAGGCCTAGCAGGCCTGAGGCCTTAATAAGTGTGGAGCAATGGTTTTCCCTGGGGCCTAGTTTATGCTTAACTTACAAATGTTTCCATATCCTGTTTGTAACACAAGCGAGCTTCACATATAGTGACATAGCTACAGTTAACTAGCATGGCTTGCTCTGTTACTTCAGTCATCACACTGTTCAGAATTGAAGATTAGTCAGTACTAATTTAGTAAACTGTTGATTTATGATCAATTAGATCTTGACTAATGCAGTAATTGCTTTAGGTTTTATAAGAATTACAATGTTATGATCCATTACTGTCTTAGGTTTTGTATTGATCATTTATTTGGGCTAAACAAATACATATATATAGCTGAAGTTATATGTTGAAGTACATGTACATAGTGGAACATTTGACTGAATTGCAAAGTTTCTATGCACATGTCATTTTATGCAGTTCTTAAATTTTCATGGCCAACTTGCAATTTTCCTTGTGCATGTTTACTACCTTTCCATCGCAGTGTTGATTGCAATTGCCATAATGTACAATGTAACTATGGAGCCTTAAGTTGACCTATGTTATTTTAAGTAGTGCACAAACCAAAAGACATGCCACCGGATCTCATGCAGGCATACAGTGGTTGCTAGCAGAAATAAATGGTCTCAATCGATCCACATGGTCAAACCCTCATTGTAGTTTGCACAACTGCAATGCACCTGGCATTATTGTCATATCCCCAAAGTACCTGCCTCGCTAGATCAAGTTTTATGGCCTCTCTAATTAAGCTTAATTGGTTGCTGCAATTAGGATGTGTATCAAGCATGGTTCTGCTCTATATATTACATGGAACTTGGTTGAATTCTGGGTCAGCTGTACATGTTTTGCTTCTATTCCTGTATATAGTTTTAAAAGAAGTTGTCAACTACATTTTTGTACCAGGTTGTTGCATGGGCACATAGACATACACACAAAGACCCTGTCAGTCTACAGGCGTTGGTGACCCTAGAAACAGTTACAGATAATGTCAGTTGGAGAAGAAACAGACCTTCCATGTTAAGGTGGACAATACATGATGGATGTGGCACTGTCTCATGATGCTCATCTGTTGTAAAAGATGTCTGGGTAACTGCAGACACACTACTGTCCAGAGGTGTAGGTTCTATAGTGATACAAGACATAAGGTTTGATACAGCAATACTGGCAATAACACCATGTATGATCATACAATTTTGTGTAAAACTATAGTATAGGAGTATAATAGGACCTGGTGACCTGGTACACTTTTGAATCACCATTGTCCCTGCATAAAGATATATCAGCTTTGTCAGCATATTTTTATGTTAAATGTTAATGAGTACATTTTGTATGTAAGTTTGATCCAGACATAAATACACATGTACATGTACATTTCCAGACCTGCAGATGTGCATTTTTCTAGAAACTCACTTTACCAACTGTTACAGTTTTAACTTACATGTAGCTCACAACTTGTAGGTTTCAGTTATGTACACTGTATATTCAAGTATATTCATCTTACTACTGCCTAATACCTGAACCTGCAATGTCCTATTGTATGTATAGTAATGTGCCCATTAATGTTTACAATGAAATGAAAAGATGTCCCGATATATCATCCTACATGGACAATAGACAGGTCAGCTGACCCAACCCTTTGTACAAGAATGTAGCCCGAGGCCATAGTAGTCCATAAACCAGTTGCCTGGAAAACAACAAAACATGAAGAAGCAACAGCCTTACTCTGCGAAAAAGTCCTTCAACCTGCTCAAGGCAGCAAAGATACGTTTTCCTGCATTGCCCATAGTTTGGCCCAAACCCCTATGGTAAGACGTGACTGTTTGGAAGGCTAATTGTTCTAACGATGTGGCCTTATATCCACGGGTTCAGTGCATGACTGATACATTTCTATATCTGTATAATCTGCATTGTATAGCCGGTATAGCGGCTGTTGGCGTAACTTTACAGGCAAGCGGTGGCAGCTGGTTACGTTACATCGAACGACTTCTTACACCTAACCCTCGCACATCCAACTCTCTGCGTAATGTTGAAACTTTGTTAAAGGTGTCCAGCGAGGATGCCGGTACTCCCCTGCTTGGTGCACGTGCTGACTTTGGTGTGTTGTTGTTGGTGTTTCAGGCCAGAGACAGACTCGACGACCACCCCTCCCAGCAGTCACGAGGAGCATTACGCAGACGACCATGACGAGGATGAGGAGGTGTTAGGGTCAGACGAGGACGAACAGGAAGACCCTCAAGACTACTGTAAAGGTCAGTCATAATAAGGGGAGATTATGAGGCAGCCATGACACTTGCCTCAGCTGCATTTGTTATAACCTCTAAACATGTATGTTGTTTGAGTTTATTAGGAACTGCAAGTTGACATTTCTTTCAGCTACTTTTCCTGTGGTCCTTAACATGTAATACAATAAAGTCACATACAAAATCACACCAAAAAACACAGAGCATCATATTTACTTAAATTTTAAAATACATTAACAAAATACATATTATAAGTACACCCCCATGTTTAAAAATAACAAAGGTTATCGGGTAATATTTTAATAAAAAACTTGTATCGATATATTAGAATTACTTGTGCAAATATATTAGGAATGAAAATTGCAAATTAACTTACAATAATCACTTAAACAGATCAATCAAAAGTCATTATTTTTGAAGGCTTCAAAATATAATGCGAACTGCACAACATCCTTTACTCTGGCTGAGTTCCACAGAGAGATGATATTGAATAGTGATAGTCTGCACAGTTGGCAGCATGTTGCCTACAGAATATAGATGGTACCTCTCTAATGCAACTAACCCAGGTCTGGACAAGAAAAACATTGAATTAATGGCAGTACTCAATTTCGATAATGGATACAGGATTGATCAGCAGGATTTTTGGCCAGCGGTAATTTATATTCCAGGGAAGCAATTTGATCATGTTTTGGTGCCGTTCGTCTGTCTGGTTTGCTAATTACGTTCTTGAAAGTTATCATCGTTAAGGCTTTCTAACGTTGACAGTCAGGAAACTAGTGTCTGGACCTGGACTGAAAAACTGGCCATCTTTACTCATAATCAAGTGTGATGTATGTGGGTCGAAATAGCTCTGGTGAGACAGGCTAGAGACAGGTGTGTTGAGAAATGGATGTTCTATCCTGTGATAAATGTATGCCATACGTTAAGCCATTTACTCTACCTTATCCTTTGAGTGGGGTGGGAGGCAAGCATCAGGGCTCAGATTATGAAACTTCAAAGGGGATCTTTTTAAATGAAGATGGCAAAATATGAGATGAAGGCCTGAAAGGTCTGTATTTCCTCACTCACTCACTCACTCACTCACTCACTCACTCACTCACTCACTCACTCACTCACTCACTCACTCACTCACTCACTCACTCACTCACTCATTCATTCATTCAGTGAGTATTTGTTCCATTCCGCAAAACATGTAATCTATTGAGTGTTGAGACTGCATTCTCCTGATTGCTCTTTTTGTTAATCTAGGGGTTTGCAGCTACTTCGTATGAATCAGAATATTGCATATGATTATAAGAGCAGTTTCCATTATGGATAATACATCAGATATTTTCTGGGCTGTCATATATCATCGCCGTATCTTTCTGAAACCCATTTAGAGATAATAGTCTTCGGTGATGGAAACGGAGTTCGTTAGGTGTTTAATTTGTCAACTGTCACTATGGATATACCACCTGTTTGCACCCTATTAAAACTGTGCTAATGTGTAAATGCCTGAGTATGAAACAATATTTTGGTAAATATATGTTTTTATATGTTTTATATATTCTTATGTATGATTTGCCATTATGAACAATGCAGACTGGACATGATTTTTACACAGTGTTCGTGTAGCTAGAAGCATTGACTAATAAATTTCTATATATTCCATCCCATATGGAATACATATACATGTATAAAACACTCAGACTGTCTTTTATGGTACAATGTATATAGAGACTGAATAACGACATACTAATGGCTAGGCTTGTGCACATAATTACAGTGCCCTTTTCTTCAGCACCCTTCATGCAAGCTACGTAATTGCAAGCAGAATATTATTAGCAATGAAACAAAAGATGTACCCTAGAAGCAAACAATTTAATGTGCAATCAGCATGACTTGGGGTAATTGTCAGAAAATTTGATTGTGATCCTCACAGCGAGCCAAATTGATAAAAGCGGAGAGGGTACTAGTAAACTGAAATTATGATGCTGCTGGTGTCGCGTGAAGGCATTGACTGTCACGTCTCGCCATCTGAAGTCACAGTCTGAGTCAGGTTATAGAAAATATAATGGTGATCCATCCAAGCATCTCACCCACCTTCCCAGGGGTGCCGGTATGACTGTGCTATTGATGTAGCCCGTGGCATCTGTAATGATGCGCAAGAGAAATGGAGGAGAAACTTTCCAAACTGCGGGAGGGTGCCTCGGGGGCTAAAAGTTAATCTTCTGTCTGTGACGTATAACCTGGGCAAATAAGGCTTGACCTCAGGATAAAAGTCTCAGGAAAAGGCATGTCGAAAATACTGACAAATTATTCCCTGCACATTTGAATCTGCCCAGTGTGTATCCATGCCAGCTGACAATGAATGTATTTTAGAATCAATTTGTTGAGGAAGGAAAGTTGTGTATCAACCCTGGCACTGACAATTACACATTTGTACGTCCCATGCACACAGGTGGTTACCACCCGGTGAAGATTGGGGACCTGTTCAACAGCCGCTACCATGTGGTGCGCAAGCTGGGCTGGGGACATTTCTCCACTGTCTGGCTAGCCTGGGACCTCAAGTAAGTCAGCTCACAGGCTATCAATTAAACATTAACAGTTTTGTTAGTATGATTGTGTAAGATGCTGTTGAACATATAGTAATTTTTTGATCATGATATTTTTTATTTAGAAATGCTTGCAACTTTATTTACATTATGGTGTTATAATTTTGCATGTTTATCTTCAGAATATCAGTAGACCCTGCAAAGTAAGAGCATCACTAGTAGTTGTAGCTGCTGTAGAACTAGAATGTCTGAAAGTTTAATCCTTGAGTTGGAGAACCACTGCATATGCCAGCTGAGTTGTCCCATGCTTTGCCACCTCATGACCGCTCCTTTTTGTCACTTATGCGCAGACCCCAACAGTCATCAGACCCAAGTGCCAGGTCCGTCCACTCATCAGTTACCACTTTGTTCAGTCCTCGCTTTGGTCCTGCTGCAAGGCAAATCATACAACAAAGTAGACATTACAAAAGATAAAATATGTTCAATGTTTAAGCTGGATTTGATTAGATTTAAGTGATCAAAACTGAATGTTCTTCTTTAATAGTGATTATTGCTAGTTTGAACCGAGTTCCTTCAAAATTCATTTTGAAATTCTTGTTTTAATGTTATGTAGTGCTACGTCTTAAAGTTGAAATTGGACAATCACACACATTTCAAATCTAAGTGCTTTGCTATTATCTGCCTTGAGAACCTTTTCAAAGATTGATTTTTCCACCAGTTGATTTTTGCAAAGGGCAAAGACTGTAGCTGCACAAAACACTGTGTTCACAAGAATTTTTTGACATTCTTATTAATAGGCTTTGAGTAATCTTTTCTTACATTGAATTTCTTATCTTACAAGAGTTCTCACACAACAGTATTGATTTAACTTTTCGATTGTGCCTTAACTTAAGTCTTTGCCCTCCCAGTGTCCTTTTACCCCTATCTGGAAACACTCTTTGAAGCAGGGCTTTAGCCAGCTCGAAATTTTTTACCGTCAACCCCAGGTCAACCCAATTCGCGAAAAAAAAAATACCGTCAACGCGAAAAAAAAATTCCGTCAATGATTACTTTTAAAGAATGTCTTTCACGATCCGGTGATCGACATCACGCCCTCCCGCACACTTAATGCATTCGGTGTTCTAAATACCCGTCAAGATTGCAGAATAAAAAAAAAAAAACTACACAATCTGCAATTTTGCAGAATGAAAAAAAAAACTACAGTTCTCACAAGGAGACAACACGCAATGAACAATCCGCTATGCCCTTTGTTTTGATCCGCTCAAATCCCGCCGCGATTCAAGCCGCGGCCATGCAAATGAACCTACTCATGACGTCACAGCCTCCGATTTCCACCGAGCCGGCCCCGAGCGCTGACCGACAGCGGGCGATGTGGCTCAGATCTCCGACGATTTCCTTATTTAGAGCGTTCGGAAGACTTCGGGTAGCAAACAAAATGGCCGACATGTACATGATTTTACTTGTCAGCTTCGCTTCTCAACCGAAATGAGGAAGTTACAGCTCCTTTGAGGACTTTAGCGGCCATGAAGTTGACTTGGGGAAGCGCTGAGACGTGATTTCGCTACGGCATAGGGTATTTTGCCGCGGAGGGAGTTACGTGGCCGGCAAAAACTCGCGTGTCAGCGATCCTCCAGAAATCTTTATGCTGCCGCTCAAGTCTTCGCGCGAAGGAGGTCTGACGAAGTTTTAGATTAAATAAGGCCACATTGTGTGGATCAATCTCCGTTTGCTTGCGATAGTATGATTATTCAAGTACAGTATATTATTCAAAAACGTTTGATATTTCTTTGTTCGTTGTCACATGTTTATTTATCGTATTGTCATGTACAGTTAGCAGCGTGTGTCTGAGTCAAGCCATTGTTTTATTTTATTCTTATGTGGCCGTTAGCACATGTTGTTTTAACAGACAGTAACATTGAACAATAGAGCCAAGTCAACAAACGTCGGCACGGTCCTTGAAATCAGGTTTCCCGCCGCCGTGCGTTTGGAAAAGACGCCGCGCCGTGGCTCATTCAAATTCGCTAGATTTTTTCCATGTCTTTACCCACGATTTTTGACCGTCAATGTTGACGGTAAGGACTAAAATTTTTACCGTCAGACGGGACAAATTACCGTCAATTGACGGTAATACGGGCGCTGGCTAAAGCCCTGCTTTGAAGTGACTTCAGCACCTGTTCAATTGATTTCTACAATACCCAACATTCATATTTGCCAGTGTTGCATTTAACATTGAAATTGGGACTGCCTCTAAGCACCACTAGTTAGTGATTACATGAAGTATCACATTGTGTATCATGTTATTATTTTGGTCAACCTTTTTCTAATGTAGTACTTTTGTGTTTGTTTTTAGTGTAATACATTACCAGCACTCACTGTATAGCCCACAGAGCTTTGGCCAGGGCAGATGTACTTAGTCTAGTAATACATGCACATGTTATTGTCTGCCTCTTTTACATAACATTCCACATTCTGTACTTCTATCCCAGGAAATTTCTCATTCTTTAATTCTCTTTCCACACACAGATGTCTCGCCATTCAATTTCTAATATGAACAGTTATCCAGTCATTGTTATATGTTGTTAAAGGGGAGGTCCAATACTTTCAGTTTTGGGGCCTTTCTACCCAAAATCCTATTTGTAAATGGTGATTTATTGGTTTCTGCCAACCCCGCACATATTTGCCGTGATATCTGACATGCTCGATGTTTCGCGGCTAGCGCCAGATTGTCCGCTAGGCGGCGCTGCGACTGGATCTGTGACGTAAAAGGTTTCATTGGAACAGAGTTAGTACACAAGAAGAGCTTCCACTGGCGGGTGTGTTCAGACCATTTCGAGCCTGGATGCTTCACGCGAACGTCAGTCTCAATAGACGTAATTCCTTTCTGTTGGGCGTATGGGCGGTCGATATGAATAAATCCGTCAAAGGGTCGAGTAAGTTGCAATGTAAACAAACTGCGGTATTCGCGGTACCGACCTGTTAGATACAGGCTCCTGCACGCCCTGCCGGATCAGATCCCACCGAAAAATCAGCAACGTTCGGAGGTTTGCCGGGTGCAGAATCACATCGAAGTCAGGGTGGTTTCTAATGCATGGGTGGTCTGTACCGACGTTCTTTTCAGTGTCTGTCAGCTCTGGCAGGTCGTGACAACAAACACTCTCCCGTACAGAGGGCATTTCCAGGCAGTTTCTATTGTCTTCGTTTCCACACCGGCACCAATCCCGGTTCTCCAACCCTCTGTCTCCACATCACCTCCATCCCAAACGTTCTCATCGCCTGGATCGGGGTCAGAGTCACCACTACTGTCCGTCTGTGGCTAAAAACGGAAGGGTTGCACGCCCGCCATTGTTGTTTACGCTAGTAGCAGAATGAAACCTTTTACGTCACAGATCCAGTCGCAGCGCCGCCTAGCGGACAATCTGGCGCTAGCCGCGAAACATCGAGCGGGTCAGATATCACGGCAAATATGTGCGGGGTTGGCAGAAACCAGTAAATCACCATTTACAAATAGGATTTTGGGTAGAAAGGCCCCAAAACTGAAAGTATTGGACCTCCCCTTTAATATTCATCTGTAATTCATGTTCTTCCTAACGATGTTCATAATCTAATCCACAACCAATTTCACCTGTAATTTCTTATTCCAGATTCATTCATTTCAAGTCTTCAAACTCTTTCCAGTTGTATTAACATTGTTTTATAATCACCTCATCGACTTTCACATCCAAAGCTTTTTCTTACAACAAGTTACATACCACTTGTTTGATGATATCAGGGATTGTTGCCAAGATTCTATTCTAATCTATATAGCAATGACTGTACACTGCCTCTAATAAAACCATGGCTGTGAAAAATTGCATCATGGTGTACTGTTGCATCAGCCATTTGACTGATATTTTATGACCCTGGAAAAATGAAGCCGGCAACAATCCCAGACATCGTCCCTGAGCAGTTTGATTATTTACGATGGTACAAAGCTTGCACATAGACTTTACATTACAACTAATTACAGTCAACAGTTTCAGTGCATATAGTCGATGCATTGTAACAATTGTATGGAAGAATGCAGTGTCTTGCACATGTGTGTAACATGTTTTATCTGTATCCGTGCAGGGGCCGTAGGTTTGTTGCATTGAAAGTAGTGAAGAGTGCTGCCCACTACACTGAAACGGCCCTGGATGAGATCAAGCTGCTCAAATGTGTACGTAAATGCGCATGTGTATTTTTAAGACTTAGTGTTTGAACATGGTCTGAACCATGTTTTTATTCATGTTGATCTTAAGTGATAAATAAGATTATTTATGTTGTGTAAACATTCATATTTTATTCATAATATAAGAATGTGCTCAAATGCTATGAACCACATTTGACATGCCTTTGCACAATGTGAATCATTCATATAAATTGTATGTACAAAAATGCAGATTGAGTACAACTATTGTTGGAAGATACATCAATGTACATGTGAAAATTCCCTTAAAGATTAAATTTTAAGACATTTTTTTAATAATTTGACAAATATTCATGAATATTTCTGTGGCACCAGAGTACCGGCATTGACTGAATATTTTATATGGGAACTACATATATTATGTACATGTCTAATTAGGAAGAGATCATAGCAATGTTAATAGTTATTACTTGAGTAGTTTTATGACTGACATATCTTTCCTCTTCCATTGACAGGTAAGAGAGAGTGATGAAATAGACCCCATGAGAGAGAAGGTGGTTCAAATGGTAGACGACTTCAAGATTTCTGGTGTCAATGGAACACGTATCCTTTTTAACATGTACTTGACATTCGTGTATACATGACAGTATGGCAGCACACCATATGTCACATTGTCATAACCAGTGAATTAGATAGACTTTCCTATTAGCCTATGACATAAGTGGAGTTAAAGGTGTCTGTAATCAGACCCTTTATCAATCGTTCCAACCTTGAACTACTGTTACTTGGCTCTCGTATACAAAGCATACCACAGATGCTCACCAAAAATAAATTTTGTGGGCAATTGGCCACAGAATTTCAGAATGACTGCCCTGGGGCTTGAAATTTTACCTCATTGCAAGATCACATTATGTAAGAAGCTGTCTCTATATATAAGAAGAATCTTGTATCACTGGATATGTTCTTGACTCCTGCACTTCAGATGTATGTATGGTATTCGAGGTTCTTGGTTGCCATCTGCTGAAGATGATTATTAAGAGTAACTACCAAGGACTCCCCCTTCCAATTGTTAAGTGTATAATCAGACAGGTAAGGAGTATTTTGTGATGGTGATCAAATTTTCTTCTGGTTGTGTGATTGTGCTTTGTTAACGATTTACCTACTAAACTGTCCTGAAGATATTCTCACTAAATCTCATGGTCTTTTGTTTTAATTCTGCAACTTTAAATATTTGTACATCCGTTAGACTATAGCCAAAACTACTAACATTACTTAAAGAATTGGGATCATTAGATTAACTGTAAGCCATGTACTTCAGCATGTTGCTGTCAGATACCATAATTATTAATTAGTGTGGAATCTTGAGCTGACACTCGTTAGCTTGATATCCATCATATTTAGCTCCTTGATCCCTGTCCAAGTGCCGGGCATTGCAAAGATAGGATATGGCGTAATGGGTCCTGAATATGGCCACCACTGAGAGGAAATAGAGATAGATGCCAGGCTTTTGACTTCTGTCTTGTACTTTGCTTATAATGTCCAGGACAGAAAGAATCGGAATATGTATCTGTATAGCCGCCCGTCAGCATAACCAACCGGTTCCAAGCACGCGGCTCAGTAGTTTGCTACAGCTGAATAACCTGTTACACCCAAACTTTGCACATGGGAGGTGTTGAAGCTACCTATACATGTAGTGATGATGCCCCAACTGTTGTTGTTGGCAACAAGTTTCACTCTACGATGGTTCTAGGAAAAAAAAAACACACCTCAGTCCTTGGTTCCTCTAGTATTTGAAGGCATAATTATTTCTTGTTCTTTTCTAACCTGGTATTAGATTTATAACTTAGTAGTTGTAGTAAAATGATCTTAGACTAATGAAACACCTCTGCCCCTCTGCAGACCCTCCAAGGGCTGGAGTACCTCCACACGAAGTGCAAAATCATCCACACGGACATCAAGCCAGAGAACATCCTGCTGTGTGTGGACGAGGCGTTTGTGAGGAAGCTGGCTGCGGAGGCCACACACTGGCAACAGGTCGGCGCCATGCCCTCCGGATCCGCTGTCAGCACCATCTCAATCATAGAGAGCAGGAACAAAGAGGTCGGTGCTCCTGGTTAAGTTTATTCATTTATTGTTTGAATCAGGCAAAGCCCATAGACAACATAGACAACACAAAATACATAAATTTAAAAATACAATGTCTAGAATAAAAGAAACAGGGCCTATTTAAGGTCTGCATACCAACTGGCAGTATCAACGCCAGAACTGACTTCTAGGGAAGGCATCAGAGCGTAAGAGCAAATTGATGATGCCGTTACCAGACGCCAGGAGGCGAGCCGCAAAAGAGTGCGTTAGCTAAGTACCTACTCCCTGCTGCCTTAGTCTGTGCCCTTTACAAAGCTACTTTACCAAGTCAAGTCAATCCATCCACCTCAACTTGAAAATAGGTTCTTGATAATAATCCTATCCTACAGTGTCAAAACCTGTTGAGTCAAGAGGTATCGAAAGTTCTTCAGCAAGGTGCAGGAAAACACTTGGAAAAGAATATCAGCCATTGAAATACCTACTTAACCTTCTACCTGCTGCCCAATGCCAAATGGCCACAACCAATAGCTTGTCAGGCTAATGTTTGAAGTGCAGGTTTGCAGATTTGCACTACCACCATGGCTCCCCATGACTTTCAGTCCAGCTTAGCTTTCCCATGTCCTCATTTTATATTCCTGTGTCCCTTCCTAGAACCTCCAAGCACAAGTAAGTGAGGGCTGGTCTACCTGAGTCAGTTGTGTTGGTGTCCCAGTGATGATCAGATGCTCCCTCCTGATGCTCCACACACAGTGTCCCCCTTAAGCTTGTTTCTGTTTTGTCAGACAGTTATGCAGCAGTCTTTTCGATCCATAATTGTGTTGCTGATATTGTTTACCTTGTCATATTCAACATTCTGTTCATTCATCAGATGCTGGTTATCACTTTTCCTACAGCACAGTTTTAGCCTCACTGACCACACAGTTGTTCCCTGTGCTTGGGAGTTGGTTTTACTACCGTTTAGTACCGTATTATTTTGGAGTAATACATTATATTATGTTGTTTCTGTTCATGTTGAATGCTTTTGCCAGTTATCTGTAACCTCAGTTTAAAAGTTGCCACAGATACTCATTCAGTAAGTACAGGATTAGTTATCCTGATAAATGTGACAGTGGTTGTCAAAAATTTGATCCTTGTATACCCTTGTGTTGGAATAAAGTTCAGCATTGTACTATAATTCATACTTACACATAGAATACCAAAGAACCTGACTAGCAGTCTGAGGTAAGTCTTATAGATCATACCTGTGAGTGAGTTTTACCAATGATCTGGCTGACGTGTCCCTCCTGCAGCAGCCCACGAAGATGTCCAAGAACAAGAAGAAGAAGATGAAGAAGAAGCAGAAGCGGCAGATGGAGCTGTTGGAGCTGCAGCAGAAGCAGATCGAGGAGGAGGACATGAAGAAGAACCAGGAGGGACAGGAAAACATGGAGCAGGTCTGTCGGACTCTTCTATTCTAAAATGTTATTGAGGATTCAGTCTTACCATCACAATCTCACTTATGGGTGACAAAAATTTGGCCAAATCCATCATCTTTGATGGACAAAAATTGGCATGTAGAGATAAAGAGATGTCATCAAACTAAGCTTAGTCTACCAGCAAAATTTGTCCCCCCCCCCCAAAAAAAAAAAAAATGCAGGAAATGGTGTTTTGGATGGTCAAGATGTGGGTCAAGATGTTTATTTAGAATAACCTGTGTTTGCGTCACTCCACACAGGGGGATGCCAGCACCCCAGCTGCCACCCCTCAGGAGGAGAACCCAGGAAAATGCCAGGTCAACAACAACCCTGTCCCCAGACCAACCAATATGGAACAGGTCAGTGTCGTCTTGTTGATGGATTAATATTAATCAATCTAGAATACTGCCAGGGATGCTGCCAAGACAGAAAACAGTATGACTTGCTACTCCAAGATCTAGTTAGAGATTAGGCTGTATCTTTTCTCTTTTATCATTGCAGGAACCAAAGAAAATGGAAGTGGGCCAGGAGAAAGCAGAGGAAAAACAGAACAGTCCAGAAAAGCTGCAGAACAGCAGGGTGGATCCACAGAACAACCCTGCAGACAATGTACAGAACAACTCAGAAAACAAGGAACAACAGAGACCACTGGACAACGACAGCAGTCTGACCAATTCTACACCTTCCACTTCTACAGAAAACACAGGTAAGTTCCTGCTGTACATATATCAGAATAGGCATTTTTAAATTTCAATTGCCCCTTCTACAATCAAAAAAGAAAGGGCCTGTTTGAAGAGGCCAACAAATTTCATTCTAATTTCTCCACCTTTACAGACCAAAAGAAAACTACTCTTAACATCACAAAACCCACACAAAAGTGGGATTATCACTCTCTCGGAAAAAGAAGTAAAACCCAGTAAGTTAGAAGTTTACATTATTGTTTGTCTCTTTTTGTTTTCTGTAGAAAATATAAAAACCCCAGACAGTGAAGACGGTCCGCTATCCATGGAGAGGGCCAGCATGAAGACGTCGGAGAGTTCTGAGCCCATCTCCTCCAGCACGTCCAACCCTGAGACAGAGGAGAGCCCGACCAGCTCAGAGCAGCTGTCCGTACCAGCCAACACCCCCGTCACACCCTCCACTCCAGACACACCCATTGAGATCAAGATGGAGAACCTGTGCAATGGGGAGATGAGTGGCGTGGAGAAAGTCAATGGTTAGTATTGTACTTTCTTTTCAGAAATATATGATGCCATTTGATAGTATAGTAGATAGTAAAACAAAGGAATTTGGACTGATACACACGACTCAATGTTTCAAGCACAGAAGCTTTCAGGTGACATCCACCATCTTTTTTCAGCTGCTAAAGAAGGTAGAAGCTAGTAGGTAGTTTGTCTCAACAGTCTCAACGGTATCCACAAATGTATCTCTTGCCTCAATAGAAAACTGACTTGATTTAGTTTTTTCAGTTAGACTGACATAAAAATGTTTTTTTTTTACACTCTCCTCTGAGTAACTGTCAGAATTTTTAATCATATCCTTACAGAAGGGGAAGAGAAAGACAAAGGGAACCCCAAAAATAATCTGCCTGAGGCTGAAGTCAAGCCTTCAGACCAGGAGAAGGGCAGACCTTCCAGATCCGGCAAGTCTTCTTAACGTTTGGAGTAGACCTTTTGGTTCTGTGCCGTGATTTGTGCTTGATAATCCTCTCTAAACATTTGAGTTTTGTTTTGATGTGTACTATTCATTCATCACAGGGAAGAAGAAAAAGAAGGAAGATTATGACAGTGTGCCCAAATCGGATTGTGCTGGCAATCCAAAGCTTGCCGGCAAGTGCTGCACTGCAACAACGATCAGTTTTGAAACATGACTAACATTTGGTTATTGTTCCTCCTGATCCAATTTTTGCCCTTTGAGTTGGGTTGATGCCGTTTGTTGTGATCTTTTTTTGGCTTCAATTTGTATCCAGCTTTCCATAGCAGTTCAGTGTACCATGTCTCCAGTTGAACACTTGTGTGCAAAATGTTGATCATAATCTGTTTACAGACATACAATGTATACCTCGAGAGGGAGTCTTCTGTTTGACATATGGAATGGATGTTATCTTCAATTCTGTTATAGTCAATTCTGTTATGGTCTCCTTGTTTATAAGCACTCTTTCCTTGTTGTCCTGTCATCATGTGTTAACCATATAATTTTTCAACTACAGGAGAGCAGGAGAAGGAGAGAAGAAACTCGCCAGACAGCGACCCTGAGTTGGAGTCTAAGGACAACGCTCACAGCTCGCACCAGAGGCCCAACAGAGAACTGAAACCTGACACCATGGACTCCAAGTCTGACAAGTCCTCACACTCTTCTACTGATGGCAAGAGAGGTACAACTCACTTTAAACATACCATGTAGCTTGGTAGTTATAGTAACAATCTGGAAAAAATTATCCAAACTAAAATTTGATACCTTGACAAGTGGTATTGCCCCAATGGTTTTTTGATTGACCTACAAATTGTATTCTTTTAGTTTCATGTATTCAATTTTGATTTAATTTAGCACCCTCTTGAACCTATTTAATGGTGAAAGGTATGATACAATCACGTACAATTACGAAGAATTTATCTACTCAAACGAAAACTGGACTGAAGTCAAGTTTTGTATTAAAAAATTGTCTCCATGAAGAAAATGCCTTGACAATGAATTGCTTGGAGCCATTTGGAACACACAATATTCATGTATCCTTTGTATCCCTGTCTAATCTACTGATTTTGCCACTGACAGTTCATTCAACTGAAGCAAGTGAGGCCTCCATAAAATCCGACTCAGGTCAACAAAATTTCTTTTCCTAACCACGCCATTATTGCACACACGTACTTTGCGACTGATAGATATTGCAAGGGCATTTGTGGTGATTAATAAGGAGATAAAGGAACATGCAGGTCCCAGCTGTGATCGCATTTATCTTAAGCTGTGCGGTGGCATTATTGACTCTGTGCCTATTGTTCACTACTACAGCATGTAAAAGAGACAAAACGGGTATAGTGTTACTGTCCATAGTGCTGAATTTGTGGCTGTTACTGTACATTATTTTCATCCATTCTGAATTTAGGTCATTCAGTAAAATTCAACCAGGCAGTTGGTATCACAAATATGAGCTAATTTCGAAACAATGTTAGTATGGTTTCGGGGCAAGATCAGAAAAAGTCATGCTCATTTTTTGTTGAGTATGTGAATAGTATCAGTCAGTGATCAGTTACATACTGAATCAGAATGTCCTTTTGCAAAAACCTCTCATCTGCTAGCTGTAGCTAGGTGTTGCCATTTTCTTCCTAAATAACATGCATATTGGCTACATAGATGTTTTACTGAGGCTTTGTCCTAATGCCCTTTCAATTTCTATATTTACTGCTGTACATGCTGAGATTGATTTGGGAGAATTAAGGTGTAACAGCAGTGCCAGCCAATTATGCATTGATCATCCAGTAGCCAAAGGAAATTTAAATGCTTGACTTGGAAACAGGCTAATTCTGTATGCTTGGTGAGTAGGTGGTGGTTTGACTCCAGCAGTGCATGGGTCAGATGAATCTGATTTGAATTGACTTTTCATTACAAAGTTGATCCTCATACATATACAAATACCTCTCCTCTATTCCCAGGCTAGAACTTCCCTCTACGTCCTTGTACATGTATGTTGTTATCTAGATACAGGCTTTCTTAGCAAGTTGTTGTTTAAGATGCTGACATTTTCTGTTTCCTCCACAGTACCTGATGGATATCCAGACTTCTTTAATCCTGACAATGCTGACATCATCAAGGTGAAGATTGCTGACCTGGGAAATGCCTGTTGGGTGGTAAGTCTTATTCAGAATAATGACTGCATTTTACAAAGTGTAGATACGGTTCTTCTCAGCCTTAGAACGTATTTAGCACTCATGTTTAAGACCTGGTGTGATTTTTTTCTAGTTTTAGTCATAGTAGGCATGCTGACTTTGTCTGTAACAGAGTAGTAAGATCTTTGTCCGCAATACCTGTACATGTAGAAACAAGATTCCATCTAGTGACAGAAGGAGGAACCCTGGGGAAAATCACACTAGTGTAGTGAGATTAACACTACAGAAACGTGTCAAAATATGGTGTAAGGATAATAGAGAAGAGATAAAAGATAATGATTTTACAAAACGTTAGCCCTTAGGCCATAGATTTTATGATTTGACTCAAAAGCGTTTCTTGATGCATATCAAAATTGCCATTATTGTTAACACCACTACTCTGCCTAGTAGTGCTGTTGTATTCATGTCCATGTAACTGTGTGTTTGTTCTATTAGGACCACCATTTTACTGAAGACATCCAGACTCGACAGTACAGAAGCCTGGAGGTGATCCTGGGGTCTGGGTACAGTGCACCAGCCGACATCTGGAGCACAGCTTGTATGGTGAGGAACATGTCTTAACACAAAAGTTACTGTGCATGAGACTGTGCCTATCTCAAACAATCATCTTATACATGTATACCTATCTTTCTAATTTTTTACTCTTAGTGCAGTGTTGAGAAAACAAGGTTTGACAAACTGTTAACCAACATGTATAATCAATCATTTGCCAATGGTTCTCAATTGTAGTGTTCTTCTGTTTCAGGCATTTGAGCTGGCAACTGGTGACTACTTATTCGAACCTCATTCTGGAGAAGACTACTCTCGAGATGAAGGTAAGTACCACCTGTAAGACTCTGCATCTAAACTTTTATGAGTTTTTGTCACTTCCCAATCACATGTCCCAAAACAGAACCATAAATCTCCTAAAATAGGAGATCCCTGTACATACTGAAAAGGTATATGCTACTTTATGTTGAGTTTTTGTTTGTACTTGAGTTGAGGATGTTGTAACATGCTATGACATAGCATATAACTTTACTATTTTCTTGCCCTGTACAGACCATATTGCCCACATCATAGAGCTGCTAGGCTACATGCCCAAGCATATAGCCCTGTCTGGCAAGTACTCCAGAGAATTCTTCAACAGAAAAGGTGAGAAAGTTAAACATTTGCTGTTGTGTATGAGATTGTTTCTCAATATCTTTCCCTAGCTGTTAAGTTAGCATCCGTTAAGTTTTCATCTATTTTTCAAGAGCAGCTTTTCGTGAAGCTAAAGTTGATCAGTATAGAATTGGAACTCCCCCTTTTTTAATTTCTCATGTGAACTGCGGCATGTCCTTAGATTGAAGTACCGGGGTCTGTCCTTTGTTTTTTTTTTCCTTAGATCACAATAGTAAAAGAACAGTCCTTTTTCAGTACTGTATTAGGCTAAACATACTCTCCAAGCAGAGATTGGTGGGGAAGATTATGACCTTTATAATATGCCCCGCTTTTTCTGTAAGCAAGAGAGAAAAAATGGGGCATATTAGAAAGGTCACAATCTTCCCCACCAATGTCTGCATGGAGAGTATGCTAAACAGAGGTACATGTGTCTAATGTTCTCTGCACTCCTCAGGTGAGCTGCGCCACATCCACAAGCTGAAGTACTGGGGCCTGTACGACGTCCTGCGAGAGAAGTACGAGTGGCCCCACAAGGAGGCAGACGAGTTCTCGTCCTTCCTCATGCCCATGCTGGAGCTGGAGCAGGAGAGACGTGCCACCGCCGGCGAGTGCCTTAGACATCCCTTCCTCAGCTCCTGACCAGCATGCACCGGGGCCAGCAGTCTCGTGACCAGGGCACCGTCCCTGCTTGTGACCGGGGTACTTAGTATCTCAGTTTGGGAGAGGTACATGATTACTGTGTAAAGTTATTCAACCACAATCTTAAATAAAATGCTGTTATAAAGCTTGTATGTTGACAAGTCAAAGAAGGCATCAAGGGAATCGCGGGTGTAGATTAGGGTTGCTCAGGGGGAAATAATGGGCAATCTGCAACAGAGTAATTAATGTATAGGAAAAAAAAACATTAGATAAGCAAAAGTAACCTGGGGAATTCAGTTTCTTATCCACGGCATTCCATTCAGCTGTTATGTGGACTTTCTATGAGTTTTTCATCTCTCATTGTAGACATTGTATAATTCACCGTCAGGGCTCAAAGTACTTTTGCAATGTAACGTTCAAAATTACCTGCACCAGACAAACCTGAAGCATGTACATGTACCTCGCAGTCCAATATTTAAAGGTTGTCAATTTGCCATAATGTAAATCTTAAACACAAGAGAAACTGTTAATATTAAAAGGAACCATTTGTTTGGAACTTCAAGGCTGGTAACAATCAGTACAGCAAACATGCATCCAAATCCACCCAACTGTTACAGGTTAGGTCCCAGGTACACATCTTAACTACCTGTACAGCTCCAGTTTTACCTACGCTAACCCACATATGCACGTGGTATTTTGAGCCCTGTCCATGTCCATAGTAGAAAAAGGTCTTCTACGTATATTGTATACCATTAAACATTGAGGTCTCAACTGTCCGCTTGTGCTGTGTACACTAAATGAGCTGGATTGCTTATCTCAGACTTGTACAGATTCAATTTGAGATGGAAATTACTAGTTACGCTGAAGCCAGGAACTGAATTGTAAGGAGAGTAGACCAGGGCATACATGAACTTTCCGGTATCCGAGAAAGAGCTGTCAAATGTTGCATTAAATGAGTGGAATTTAGATATGTACAAAATGTATTCCGGAAAGGGTGGTGTTGGATATGTGGCGAAGGTTTATGGTTAAAATCTACAATGCACTGCTTCTCTCAACTGTTGCTACAAACTGTTGAAACAATTCCTGCTGTTACAAACTGTTAAAACATGGTTTCCAAGAAAAGTTTGCAGCAGTAAAATCGGTTTAAATGAACTATGAAGGAACGTATTGTTAACTTTTCAGTGTATAGTCCTGGTGAGAAAGAGGTACCTGTGAAATTTCTTTTAAATGCTGGAGTTTGAAATAAACTGCTGAAAATACTGCACCCCAAAGTGTGATGTGTGAACTCTTTCAAACATAGATAGAACACTGTTGCCCTTTATGCATGTAGCAATGTTGTGAAGTAAATATTGTTTGCACAATGCTGTTTAAGGCTTTTCGACAACACCTATTGGTTGTTACAGGAGCCTCAGAATGAAAAATCTGTTCTTTAGTTCAATTCTTTAGATTACTACAAAATGAGAATCATTCTACATGAAACTGCTGCTGTAATCTTAGCTTGCCTTTTTGTTCCTTTCTGAATTTCTGGAAAGCCTATGTTCTCAGCCTTTAAATTTATTTGTCAAAGATACATAGGTTTTTTGATAATGAATAAATGAGAAAAGCAGTGCATTGTGGAAAATGTGTTTAAGTAAGTGCACATGCAATGTACTATAGCATTAGACTTTGTCTACAGGAAAAATTTTTCGAAGCAGTATACAGGTTTAAAAGGTATACATTGTTATGTAGAATGCATACCACCAGATCAGAAATAGAAGGAAAGACATGCACATAGTATGTACACCCTAGAAACAAGTGACCATTTAAAACACAACAAGCAAAAAGAAATGTTCTAGTAGAAAGACGAAAAAGGCCTTGTACAATGGCCGTGGAAAATTGGTGTTTATACACAGGTTTTATCAGGCACACAATGAACAAACTTCCATAGAATGTTACAGACACTGTTCAGTACCCGGGTGCCAGGCCCTGTCTGTGTATGTAGGTACCTTGTAAGTGTGGCTATGGGTTTGGTAGGAAGCCAGATGAGAAAACATTCACTCCGGTAAAATCACCTTTTTTCCTTCTAAATCAAATTTTTGTGACTGTGAACCTTGGAAAACTGTTCTTCACCTAGATACAGTTTATGTCACTGTCATGACATATTTACATTTTTAGCATCATATACCATGAAAGTTAATGTTTATACTATATTACAAACTTCAATACACAAATCTACCTTTAATTCTAGTACATAATATTACAGTGAATGTATGACTGAAAGTTATGCTAATGTTGGTTTAATGCAAGCATATCAAAGTGTTGGTTTAGTGCAAGCATTTAAACAATCATATGCCTGTCCTAGGACATACTTGTCCCAGGGTGGCTTTACCAAACCAAAGTTGTGAAGTGCTAGACTGTCAGAGGAAAAGTACAATGTAGTTGATTATGGAAAATTAGCATTACATCATGTATTCCAGGCATCCCAGTTATTGTGTTCACATTCCTGTTGTCAATAGGAAAACTTAATTTCCAAGTAGATGTTTGGGAAGGGTAAACCTGAAAAGTTTTTGTAGCTGCCCCTTGGAGGCCAGTTTGGCAAAGATGAGGGCATCTAAGATGTAGCCTCCCCAATATCTGCTTGGAGATTAGGCTTAACTATATGGTAATGTAGCGTACCTTACTTTTCTTTTACCACTTAATGAATACCAGTAGCATGTCTATGTTTTCATGTTGTTAATGTATATATCATAGTATGCATAAAAAATTCAATGCACCAGTAAGTCCAACTACTAGGCCTAAGTTTACATGTACAGAGTTAGACATTGTCAGTGGCTGTTTCATCTTAACATTTTCATCATTGATAGTGCAATGTGTACTGTGTAAAACTAGAATTAGGTACTTCATACAGATGTGAATAAGAAAGCCATTTTCATAATGTTCATCTTTGGATTAGATGTAAAACAATACAACCTCTGGCACGATGAACACAAATAGAAACTTAGAATTATCTGTATCTTGTGGCTTATACATTAAGTACAATTATTTACAGTACTTACAATAACAATAGGTTGTTAATTCTTAAGATGTAACATTGGTTGGTCAGGCATACAGGGTGATAGCTGTCTATAAGGCTGTGGTACGATTGAAAAAAATTGCTGAAAGAAATTTAATGGTGTGCATATTCATAATATTTGGTGATTGATAATCCCTACTAATTTATCTTTAACCTTGTTAGGTTTCCATGGTTTTCTCTCCAGAATTTTTGATAATGGCAAATGTTCTTCTGGTATCTAGGAGAAGTTTGGATAACTTAAAAAAAACGTCAGCATATTTAAGATTTGCTGTGGTCTGTGAGCTGCTTTGTAATGTGACTTAGCTCTATAAAATTGAAAGGTGAAGAGAAATATAAATTTAGACCCGTAGAAAAAGGTTGAGCTGAAATAGCAATGGCAGCATTGAGGATCAAAAGAACAACAATATGCACAGATTTACTGTAGTGGTGACTGTTGCAGAAGAGAATTTTTAAGGAAGTCAATGCTCTGAAGAATTTAAGGCAACTGCATTGTAGAACTCAACATAGAACAATTTCAACACTATACATAGGTTTCATCCAAGTCCCTCAGAATTTTTAGAGAACAAAACTACAACATACAGAACTTTAATGATGGTAAGGTTACATGTAGCTGTGTCCAGACAATCTTCTTGAAGACAGGACAGTGTAACATCACTTCATGTTCACTGATAACAGAGTATAACTGGTCTTGTCAGTGCATTGTTGCACATAGATCTGTTTTAAAGTTCCTATGTACATTGTCATAATTTAACTCAAGTAGCTAACTGTACAACATGTAACAATTGATCTTGCTTAATATTTCTGGGTTTTAGGAGGATTTTCTGTTCTTGATTGAACAAAATAAAGTCCATGTATTTGTTCATGATGGTCTTCCTTCTGAATGTTTGTGTAACTTACTAGCAAGTGTAACTTTGTGGTAAGTGCATACCTGCTATTAAACTACATACTATTTCTTTTCTGGTAAGCCTAGAAGGTTTAGGGATTCCTAACATTGTAGGCAAAGGGTGGAAAGTACCAGTAAAGTGCATGTGTACAACATTGTATTATTGTATATTTGGTATTACAAATGTACTACAATGTAACATGTGATGCAATGTAACAGCATCTAACATCGCCCTCTTGCGGGTAAGACAGAACTGCAGTTTCCAGGTGCGCAGAAAGCTGCGCAGAAGACTGAAGTGACGTGGCCTGCGAGTGTTGGCATGAGAAAACTCCTTCAGCGATCAACTTAAGATTTTAGTCGAATTTCAAGATGCTGGGACTACGTAGAGATAAGAAGGACGAAGAGGATGGTAAGTAGCCTTTGCCTAGCAAGACAAGTCACGTTGAAATGGTGTTTTATGCATCCGATATAAGGAAATCGTATGCTGTTGGAGAAGGGGGAGGGGGGCGGTAGTAAACCAGCAAAAAGTCCACAAATTTTGCAGAATATTTTAACATCATAAAGCTGGAATTCGATCTACTACAATTGATAGGCAACACACCAGGAAGCATTAACAGCATTTCCGTGTGTTCAGGCTTTGAAGGAAGTTGTTTTAGTTTACATATCATTTTTGTGTCGGTGAGATAATCTTCGTGCATGCGCATGCCACGTCAAAAAGAGCACACGTAAAAATTATTATTTATCATCCTACAGGTGCACCGGTATCCGTATTAAAACTTAAACCATGCCACCTGTTACAAGTGGGGTAGCTTTTCACTCGACATAACCCCTCAAACGTCTCATGGGCACTATTAAGCCAGTATAATATTTGAAATAAATGAAAACAAGAGTTCCACGATCTCATACCTTCGCCAAATGATGTTAACAAATTGACGGTTGACGAATTATACAATTTTGATCATTGATTTCGCAAATAACAGAGTCATTTGAATAGATTACATCATATGGATCATATTCTCCCCCCAATGATAGCCTTATCTTAACAAAATAGGCTATTCTAGCACTTCCTCATAAATTATGCAAATGAGGTCATGATGTTAATAAATTATCTTCATTGATGTTCACCTTCGGCAAGTATAGAATTCCCAGCAATTGCAACTATGAAATTATAAACATTTCCCATTAATTATGCAAATTAGGTCTTCATTTACATAATCTATATCCTCGGATGTTTTTCTCGTTCTCAATTACATGTCACACGTGTTTCATAGTCCTATTATCGAACGAAGCAGATTTATAGAATTTCCTCATTAATTATGCAAATTAGCACCTGATTTGCATAATTGTCATCTGATTATGTGAAGCATCACTTCAGCTACCTACATACCAAAAATCATGACAATCCGTCAACCGGTTCTTGAGTTATGCACCTTCGGAGATTTTTCAAGAAACGCTCCTGCAGTTCCAGAACAAGCTGCTAGGGGGCCCAAACTCATGTCACTTCTTCCCTACCCCAAGAGCTATCTAGCAACCAAAATGCGTGACCCTAGTATGTCTATATCGCGAGATATCAAAACCAGAAGTTCTGCTGCAGTACCAACAAAAGCCGCCAGGGGGCCCAAAATCTAATCATTTCTAGGTCTCATCAAGACCTACCCACCTACCAAGTTTCATGACAATCCATATCAAGCTTCTTGAGTTATGCTGTTCACAAACAAACAAACGGACAAACGCTACTGAAAACATAACCTTCTTGGCGAAGGTAAATATGTAGCTCATGGTAACCAGAGATGATAGAGTTTACCTTCATAATATCTAGATATTTTCTTCCCAACAAAATTATTCTGGGCTCTTATATAAGAATATTAATTAATAAGAAAGAAGCACGGGGGATGTATGTCAAATTATGCTACATTGTGTATATATCCTATAATCCTAATGATATATTGAGAAGCACCAAAACACACAGAAAGACACACAGTCACATAAGACAAATGATTTGTTCATGGTGTATACAGACAGATAACTGCAACTCGGTGATTTTATTTCATTGAAATTGCAATAGCAACACAACTTGATAATTTCTATTGCTTTGGTCCTTAGGGTTTTCTCTCAACCCTTTCAACAACCTTGAGAAGACGTCTGTCCTCCAGGAGGCACGCACCTTCAACGAGACGCCCATCAACCCCAGGAAGTGCTGCCACATCCTCACCAAAGTGCTGTACCTCATCAACCAGGTAGGGGGCAGCGCAGCAGTCTGATACATGTTTGCAGCACTTACTAGTACTGTAATTCCGCCAGCTCACGAACCCAATGCACTGACCACAAGGCTAAAAGATCCTGTCCAGTTTGATTCACTGGTCAGTTGGTGGTGCTTGAACCCCACTACACCAGTTTTGTACTACTGCACATGATTAGACTGAAGTTGGATCCACTCACACCAGGAACTGAGTTATACTTGTCCTAATGGTTTGAAGCAAATGTTTTTGGAAGATTGTTATTTGTAACGTTACATGTTTGTAGTGCCTAACTGGTAAACCACCTTAAGGCATTTGGTACACAAGTTTTTCCATGTTTCAGGGCGAGCACATTGCGACCACGGAGGCCACAGAGACGTTCTTCGCCATGACGAAGTTGTTCCAGTCCCAGGACGTGACGCTGCGCCGCATGGTGTACCTCACCATCAAGGAGATGGCAGACCTGGCCGAGGACGTCATCATCGTCACAAGCAGGTGTGTTTCTGGACAAGGAATAGCCTGACTCCATCACTCTGCTAGCACAGCCCTTCCACTGGTCAGGCAAGGAGGCCCGATCAACCCGAGAAGGAGGCCCAATCAGCCTGTCTGTTATTTTTTTGTCACTGAACTTTCAAAAACTGTAGCAGGACATACAATACAAAGAAAAAAACACAAAGGAGCCAATTTGAGCATAGTCTACTTTCTAACTAATCCCTCCGTCTTGTTTTTGTACAGTCTAACTAAGGACATGACAGGGAAGGAGGACATGTACCGGGCAGCTGCCATCAGGGCTCTCTGTAGGATCACTGATGTAAGTTATACTAGTAGTCTATCTTTCTCTATCGTCAAGGTTCACCTTTAAGTATTGTGAGTATGTAATACTACTTGGTACATTCCTGTAAAAAGTGTTATCACCCAGGGTAGCAACATCATTATTTTACTTCCTGGACCAGTATTTAAATTAATGTTTCAATATGCTTCATATAGTAAACCACATTAAGGATCTGCCAATTTAACATATTCACAGTAAAATGGAGTAGATCCCCCTTTGTGAGCATTGAGTTAGGTTATTTGGTGCATTTTTGGTATATTATGTGAATGAGTTTGTGATGTTTGGTATGGTACCTAATGTAAGTTGTGTTGTGTTGTCCCAGAGCACCATGTTACAGAGTATTGAGCGGTACATGAAGCAGGCCATCGTGGACAGGAACCCTTCTGTGTCCAGTGCAGCCCTCACTTCCAGTCTGGTAAGTGGTTGAATTTTTACCTTGAAATGTCATTGGAACCACGATATGTATCTTTGTTGTTTATAGTGTGAATTATTTCCATCCAGTAAGTATACCAGCTTTAAATAGTGTAGTCATCATAACTGCACAGCAAGCCAACTTTGATGTATGTAAAGCTTCCTACATCTGTAGTTACATCGTACAGTAACCATTTTTTCCTGTGATGCTATCATCAGCACCTGATGAGGTCCAGTGGAGATGTGGTGAAACGTTGGGTGAATGAAGCTGCTGAGGCTGCTTCTAGTGACAACATCATGGTCCAGGTATGCTTCGAGATTTGAATCTTTTTTAAAATTCATAAAAAAAGCACATAAAATGTTCTTGTGGCCGAAGTCTTTATTGAGTAATGTTCACTGCCAAGATGCGCATATTTACATACCATAAAATTATGTTGAAGCAAAGGACTTGAAGCAAATTGTCACAGTAAAAAGGTGACCACTATAAACGGGGTTTTAAATGATTGCATAGATTTTGTACGTTCAACTAATAAATATGAAAACTATTGGAATTCACATTGGAATGTGAATTGTAATGTTGTTCCGTTGTCCCCAGTACCATGCCATCGGAGTGCTGTACCACATCAAAAAGACTGATCGACTGGGAGTGTCCAAGCTGGTCAGCAAGTTCACCAAACAGTCGCTACGGTCACCATATGCCTACTGCCTGCTGGTATGTAATTAAAATATACTCCTAAAATACTTTTTATATACTGTAACAAAACATGCATGGTGGCTTTGAAAAGGTATCTTTATGTCGACCTGTTCCACCATGCCTACCGTGTATGTGGAAAATCGTAATAACTAAATAAATATATGCATTACTGTTTGTGTCACAGATTGAAAATTCATGGGTCAATTGCACACAAAATGTTGACTGTTGTCAGAGATTTCTGTTTTGCTAAGTTGGGAGTCCTCCCCTGTGCCCACAGATCCGTATTGCGACCAAGCTGCTTGAAGAGGAGTCAGAGGGGAGAGACAGTCCGCTGTTCGACTTCATCGAGACCTGTCTGCGCCACAAGAGTGAGCTGGTGATCTACGAGGCTGCCCACGCCATCGTCAACATGCCCAACACCAGCGCACGGGAGCTAGCACCTGCTATCTCAGGTACGTCCCGGGGGGGGGGCAAAAGTTTGTGGAAACAGTGTTGTCTGGTGGGGTTCTTCTGTAAAAAAAAAATACGTATATTTTTGCAAAATCCATCAACTAACCATCTCAGAAAAAAATGAACTTACAAATGATGTTGTGTGTATCAATTTTAGAAGCAGTACACAGAAGACTTTGTTACAGTCCTTTACAACTATTTTCTCCCCTCTGTAGTGCTACAGTTGTTCTGCAGTTCACCCAAACCCACCCTACGGTTTGCTGCTGTCAGGACACTCAACAAGGTGGGAACATTATGTTCATTTTACAAATTTCTCACTCATTTAGAAATACTAATTTTTAAGCACTAGAAAATCAGAGTGCAAGCACGTCTAACCCTCGGTTATGGGGAACAACAGACGATAAACTGGTTTATCAATTCATGTAAAGGTGAAGATAATCTTCACTGTTGTGTCCCCAGGTTGCGATGAAGCACCCTGCAGCTGTAGCAGCCTGTAACCTGGACCTGGAGAACCTCATCACTGATGTTAACAGGAGCATTGCCACTCTCGCCATCACTACTCTGCTCAAGGTGGGGATGTCTGTGGTGGTAGTTACATGTTTAGAGTAAAAAAAATTTGTTTCAACACAAAGGATTGTACTCATCTAGAGCTTCTGGTCTTCTTCACATTTCCGAGAAGCCACATGACAAGTCTCACTGGGTCAGTCTATTGAAAAAGACCAGAGTGACTGGTCGAAAGCTTTAAGTGAGAACTATCCGTTGTGTCGAATCAAAAGTTTTAACCCTAAAATGTGTGTATGTTTGTTTGTGTTTCTGCACTCATGAGACTTCTGTATTTTCAACAAAATGTAATGTACATGGCATAGGTTAATGAAAGAGTAGAATGTGAAATGAAACACCTTAAAAGAATAACCCTGAAGGCAACGAAGTCTGCCATCACTGATCGCCTGTTTCATGGTGTGTTTCAGACGGGCAGTGAGAGCAGTGTGGATCGGCTGATGAAGCAGATCTCCACCTTCATGTCGGAGATCTCGGATGAGTTCAAGATTGTCGTGGTGCAGGCCATCAGGTACAGAGCCAAGATCTCGTAATCTTTTACACCTTACAGACCCACAAGATTTCCATATTCCCTTAAAAGAGCCATGTGTCAGTCATATCAAACCAAAATTGACATGTATAAAAACTTGCTTTCCCACAAAATATTGAAGAATTGAACATGTTAATTGTTATCATCCACCACTGTTTTGGGCCTCTTCACAAGGTGGTTTTTGTTTCATATAACCAGCCTTTGCTCCAAGCCTCCAAAGTTGGTGTCACTACACTGAAGGATGGATATACGAGTTGACCAGTTTGGATTCACAAAAATCAGTTGAATGCAGAAATTGACTGATTCCTGACTTTCTTGGTTCCAGGTCCCTGTGTCTGAAGTTCCCCAGGAAACACGGTGTACTGATGAACTTCCTGGCCTCCATGCTCAGGGATGAGGTAGGAACACAACTGGCTCCCCTGGGGTCCGACTCAGTCTTTTTGCGCTTTTTTTAAAAGTCATTGAATACAGTTCAATCAGGCAGGATCCTGTACCTGCTGCCCAACGGTGTGACCAATACAAATTTGATGTCAAAATGCTACTTCAGTTGGGAAAAAATCAAAGATGCTGATACGCTGTTTAGCCTACATGTGCTTCTTTGTGATGTATTTTTGCCTTTTGTTTGAGTTTCATTGGTTGTACTTTGGCTGCCTCTTAATTTCTGGCCTGGTGTGGCTGCATGCTTCATGTATATGGCTGCTGTATTTCCGTCTTGCAATGTAAAAAAAGTGCCTGAAAGCTCTGCTCATCCTGTGAACTTTGTTTTTTTATTTTCATTTGTCGGTGTTGTGTATGTACTTAACTGGAATCCTCCCTTCTCGGCTGCCCTGTTTTTCGTCTCGCTCTACCTGCTTTTCCAATCTTCTCTCCGCCGTCTTCTCTCCGCCCCGCACTCTGCATTCAGAACTCCTCCAATTCCTCGCAGGGCGGCTTCGATTACAAGCGGGCGATCGTGGACTCCCTCATCGGGATCATCGAGGAGAACCCTGATGCGAAGGAGGCCGGCCTGGCGCACCTGTGTGAGTTTATCGAGGACTGCGAGCACACGGTACTGGCCACCAGGATCCTCCACCTGCTGGGCCGGGAGGGCCCCCGCACACCCTCCCCCTCCAAGTACATCCGCTTCATCTACAACAGGGTCATACTGGAGAACTCTGCTGTACGCGCAGGTAAGGGGAGGGGTGAAATACTAACACTTCAATTCATGTAGTGAATTTTGTTAACAATACAAAACAAATAAGAACTTTTTTAACAGCTTTTTATCCTTTTCTCTTTTACTGGATATGTTGAGCACACATGTAGCATTGATATTCTACAAATTATGGATGATGTACTGCACACAATACTTTTTTTGTTGGTGGGGGAGGTCCTAAAACGTATAATGTTGTAAAATCCATTGATGGTTATGTTTCCCAGCTGCGGTGAGTGCCCTGGCTAAGTTTGGAGCCCACTGTGAGGAACTCATGCCCAGTGTGGTGGTGCTCCTGTCTCGGTATGTACTTTTAAACAGCAGCTGTTGATTGTATTTGCCATTGGTTGTAAACTTGTAGTGTTTGTGCTTGTTGTGTATACGGATATTTGTAGATTGGACAGAACTGTAAGCATGTATGTTTGTCGCAGGTCCCTACTGGACACAGATGACGAGGTAAGAGACAGAGCCACCTTCTACCTGAACGTGCTGAAACAGGGCAACAAGGCGCTCAACTCAGCCTATATCCTCAATGGTACGTCCTGTGCTATGTCTCAATGTTACTTAAATTAATTACTATTATGTACGATTGGGCAAGACACTGTCAGTGGTTAGTAACCTTTCTTCTTTTTGAGTTGAATCTTGGCTGATGCTGCTCACCTGATGGAAAAGCTGATAGGTTTTTCATTTTTGGTCCAACCACTTTTGAAATCCACAGTTTACTTGCTTGAGAAGGCCTGGAATTAACATTATTATTTTTTCTTATCTCTGTATAGGCCTGAATGTGTCAGTAGTGGGTCTGGAGCGAGCTCTGCACTCCTACACACTGGAGCCATCTGAGACTCAGTTTGACATGAAGAGTGTCCCACTGGCCACACAGCCACTAGCAGAACAGAAAACAGGTAAATATTGTACCACACACTTCCTCTGGTTAGTTTGACTGAAGTGACCAAGGCATTCACTCTTCATGTTGTTTTGCCTCAGTTCCTTTACTGGACAGAAGGCATGCGTGTTACATGTAACTGTTCTGTTGCAAATATGATGGTAGAAGGACCAGGAAATATGATGTCGGGGATGTGTGTATGATTAGAAAATGTTATCACTTTTATCATCAGGCCATTTTACATTTTTCCAACAGTTTTCTTTTGCAAATTATAATTTTTTAACTTTCCAGCTCAAACATGTTTAAAACATGCACATATTTTTAAGTCCTCTATATCATGCCTGTTCCAGGGCTGCGCATATTTGGTGCAGAGGGTCAACTCTCAGGTATTACATTTGTACACCATCATGTCCAAGGCAGATTGTCAGCACTTTTGCTCTGTATGCTCACAACATGCCCTTTTTCAATCTGCTGAAGAACAGTAAGGTTTCAGTAGATGCCCTGGTGGTGTTTATTGGTGTTTTCATCTCTCCCTTAGCTGCCTAGTGACTGCTACTCTTCCAGGAGATGGGAACATGCATACATTACATATTAGATAATGTGGGTTGCAAGGTTTCAATAGACAGCTGAAGCTGAAATGTGGCCCTGCTGTGGTTGTTTGGTTCTATGCCAGCCATCCTGTCAAGTTTTCTCTGGGTACCTCTACCTGTGAAGCAGTTGTTCAGGGGATCAAAGGTTCAATCATGGCTTCTGTGTCTGCAGTACGCTTGTTAAGCTGTTCAGTCCAAAGCAAATTAGGTTTTGTATAATTAGATTGTTTCAAATGTTCCCATCCAGCGGAGGTCACGCCTGCAGCCAAGGCACCAGACAAGGTGGCTGCTACCAGACAGGACATCTACGCAGGTTTGTTTGTTTGTTTGTTTGTTTGTTTGTTTGTTTGAGCCTTTGCTTATTTTAGGAAACATAAGGACTTGTACCAGGTAACTTTTCCTGTAGATTCTGCTGGTAACTGATTTTCATAGATGATGTACCTGTGGCTTGTTTTATTTAGTTTCTGTCTTCTGTTCACAGAACAACTTGCAGCCATCCCAGAATTCCAAGGTCTGGGGCCTCTCTTCAAGTCATCCGCGGCGGTTCAGCTGACGGAATCAGAGACAGAGTACGTCGTCAGATGTATCAAACACACCTTCACCAACCACATCGTGTTCCAGGTGAGACATAGTTATTGTGTGTGTATGCTTAACAACTTCAATAGACTAAGTAAGTATTCAAATAAAATCACTGAGTATGTACCTGATAAAATTGCACTGTATCCAGTCAAATTGCCAAGTATACTTAGGCACCTCTAATATTCAATGTAACGGTATGAATATTTTTTTAAATCTCTATAAATTTTCAGACACTCTTTTTTCTCCGTCAAAGTTATTACATATTAATCCTGTTCCTCTCCCGCAGTTTGACTGCACGAACACGCTGAATGACCAGATCCTGGAGAATGTGACAGTACAGATGGAGCCGACGGAAGGGTTTGAGGTCCTGTCGTACGTCCCAGCAGCCTCCCTGCCGTACGGACAGCCTGGCATCACATACACCTGTGTGGCTCTGCCGGAGGATGACCCTACTTCTGGTCAGTACTGACACACTTTCTCAGCCTGTGTTTGTAAGGATAGTTATCTGTACATGTAAACATGATGCATAACTAGCATCACCTACACCTACGTGGCACTGCCGCAAGACGACCCAACATCTGGTCAGTACTGACAGGCTTCCTCACCACCTTATCTTGTGAAGTTCTATCTAAAACTGTGTTTGTATGGATAGTCACATTTTACATGTAAACATGATGCATAACTGGCATCACTTACACCTGTATGGCACTGCCTGAGGACTCACAGACCTTCTCACCAGCTGATAAGGCAGTGCTTTATCAATAGCTGTCATTGCAATGCACTCTGCCCTTCTTGGTTTGTGTGTTGAGTTCTTTTATTTGCAGAGGTCACCACCATCAGAACAGTAAATGTGGTTGATGTATAAATTATATGACTACTTGAGTATGCTTTGTGATGTGTATTTCTAACTGCCCTGCTTGTGTCGCTGCAGTGATCGGCACCTTCAGCAACACGCTGAAGTTCCTAGTGAAGGACTGTGACCCCAACACAGGAGAACCTGATGAGGAGGGGTACGAGGACGAGTATGTGGTGAGTAAAACAACTGAGCTTGGGTAACTAGATGTCTGTCATGGCAGGAAACATGGTTTTGATTTTAACACCCAAAAGACTGTGACTTACATGTACATGACGACACGTCTCAAAGAAGGGCACGTGTACATGTATGGCTAACAATGTGCTAAGTGTTGAATTGAAACTCAATTTATTTCCTTGTGAGTGGCTCCAAGTGGCAGAGAGCTAGAGAGAAGAAATTTCTTGCTTTTGATCTGCACTACAGATTGAAATTTACTAACAGAAGCCTTGCTGTTTTCCAGTTAGAAGATGTGGAGGTGACAATCTCAGACCACATCCAGAAGGTGCTAAAACCAAACTTTGCAGCGTCCTGGGACGAAGTCGGGGAAGACTACCAGATGGAGGATACATACGCACTGTCTACTGTCAAAACTCTGGAAGGTTCGTAAACTATGCTTATTTCACTGTAGTGACATCTTGATATCTAGATTGTAATCTCTTGTGAATTCTAAATTCTTTTCATTTTTCTGCTACGTCTATGCTGATTTATTTTGTTGTGTAGCAAACAGGTTTTGAATGAAGTGTTTTCTTTTATATACAATGAACGTACAAATTTGTATGTTTGAAGCAAAGTGTGTTGCTTTATCATAACTTAATCTTCCGCCCCTCTAGATGCGGTTAAAAACATAGTGGACCACATGGGCATGCAGCCGTGCGAGCGGTCCGACAAAGTGCCAGCGGACAAGAGCGCGCACACGCTGTTCCTCGCTGGAGTTTACCGGGGCGGCCACGACGTCCTGGTCCGAGCTCGGCTCGCGGTGGACGACGGCGTCACCATGCAGATCACAGTCCGCAGCACGGACGAGACAGCTGCAGAAGTTATCTCTGCTAGTGTAGGGTAGAGTCAAGGTTACATGGGGTTTGTCTTATGTATGGTGGGCTGGCGGGGATACAGAAACTAACATAAATTCTTTATTGGTCTATTGTAGTAAGCTTCAATAACTATGATCCAAGAATTTCCTGTTTAATATTGGTTACCACGATAAAGACAGTAACAGCCAGGGCAAGATTCTTTGGGGCAGTAGACAGAACCAAGATTAGGACCAGCATTAATGTATACAATGATGCTGGGTTAGGTATTCAAAGGTTCCATCTGTGCTGTTTTGTAAACCTCCTAAACTTTTATTACCAACAGTCTTGAATTCAAAGGTCTACTTGTATATCAATGACTCATTCAACAAGAAAGCTAACATTGTATTTGAACATTGTCGAATATAGCATGTTAGACATTCCGTGATTCATCAATGCTGGTAATGAGAAAAGGTTATCTACATGCAAAATCAAGCAATTTAAAGCTCTATAAAGAATACATTGTAGGTACATGTATGACAGAACAGTTGCACTAATACCTGTGTCTCAAATATATAGCATTAGTTACACCACTATATCTATAGTAAATTGCTAGTGTCAACTTATGTATGTGACCTATTCCATGAGAATAAAGATGCCTTGTGTGAAAGATTGTGTCAGAAATATTATTATTTTCATACTTCTCTGTCCCTGCAGTTAGCAGTAGTGAAATTGAATACCTGGTATGACTTTAAAATTTAAAGAGATGTTCAAAATAATACTTATGAAAATGTAGGTAGCAACACTGTAATGTTATCTGTCCATTTGGTTAAAACTTGGTCCTCATAACTTGATATCCTAGTGGTGATTCTCCTTTCTTTTGGGCATCACAGAAGCTATTCTTTAAACATGAGGAATATCTAAGATGCCACAAAATCTGTCATTAATGTTTTAATTTAAGACATCCATTATACGTGCAATATTAACACGATAGCGCCTGTGTGTGATCACCTAAGTCTGAACAGTTGTAGTTTTGAAACAACCGCAAGGAGGCGCCCCTGCACGGCCCGACCAGCTGATGTGGCATGATGGCGACTTCCCGGTACAGTTTGAAGACATGGATCACCGGTTTCCTTGTTTTCCTCCAAATCTCTAGCTTGTGGGCGAATTCTGACGAAGCCTACTGCGACAAGGAAACAGGAACATGTGACGAAAATGTCACGGAGCAAGCAGAGAAGGACAAGTACCGGGAAGGTCGTGCAATATGGTTGTTTCGTGTGGGGAGGGGGGCGTTCACTGTTATTGTTATGCTTGTCTTGTACTTTCTTTTATGACCAACATGTAACTTCGATATCTGTAAGAATATCGTCTTCGCCTTGGGAAAAAGTGCTCTGAAACCAAGAAATATAGCCTTTGTTTTTGTCCATATATTGATTTACTTCATATGTGACTCCATTGTTAGTATAAAAGAAAATATTAATGTTCAAAAAGAAAGTGAACATTTTCTTTACTCTGAAGAGTCTGATGTTTCGTTAATTACTTCGTTCAGTTGACCCACGATGGCAGAAATACCTGGACAAAATTGACCAAGCCTTGGAAGACTACAAGCCGTGCCCCAACCCGGACAAGAAATGTGCCTGTCACAGTAGGTGAGGAATTGATTTGTTTTTAAATCCTGACTGTTGCCAGCAGCCCACACACAGGCTAGCCTCCACCAGACCTGTGTTTAATAATAGGACAGTAACCATTATCTTATATGTAGTGCTTTACAAATGAGAGAATGTATTGTAACAGAAAGACATGTTTAACATACATCATGTAACATTAACATCCATATTCCTTGAGTCCAGCATACCCAGTAGTCTTGTATTGATTGCTTTGTCATTGTTGCCATATTTATATTACATTGTCCTCTGTGCATGTAACATATAGTTATCACCATCGAGCAATATAGGTTTATTCATTCATTTATGATGACTGTTGCTGTTACCTGCTTATTTTCCGTCCATGCCTAGTGTTATAACTAAAGACCTGAAGCTGTGGAAGGACAGAGGAGGGATCACCAGGGAAGAGTTTGATCACACCTTGGAGCAGGACAAGGGAACTCACTACCAGATCATCGACCACAAACTCTACAGACAGGACAGGTGTATGTTCCCGGCCAGGTGAGATGCGACAGGTGGTCCCTAAGATTATTTTTCCCTTTGATCTAAGTGGTAAGCATCCAGATTGTTTCTACTGTGTAGTTAAGAATGTGAAATGATACACAAGTTCATCATAAGGACTCTTTAACAGTACCATGTTCCCTTCCAGATGTTCAGGTGTTGAACACTTCATCCTGGAGATGATCTCTGAGCTACCAGACATGGAGATGATCATCAACGTGCGAGACTGGCCGCAGAGTCCCATGTACCAGCGAGAACCCAAACCTGTCATGTCCTTCAGTAAGGTAAGACTCATCTTTAAGTTCAAAGACACTGAAATTACTCTCCAATTGCCATGCAGAGGTTGTTTGGGGAGATTGTGACCTTTATATCATCTGAACTGTTTTTTGTCGCTTACTCACCCACCCACCAACACAGAAAACAGGGTATATGATAAAAAGGTCACAATCTTCCCCACCAACCTCTGCCTGGAGAGTAACCAAAAGCTCAGAAAAGATCAAGTTAGTCTGTCTTCAGTAGCATATTACCAGCCCCAAACCTAAGGTCTTGGCCTGAATATCTTCTTGCCTCTTTCAGATTTGATGAAAAGGTGATGATTGTTTAATGATAGGCTTGATGGATTTTTACATGTTCCATGTGACATTAGATGAATCACCCCCTTTGATGGAGGAGAATTGTTGTTGGGGTTTAACATTGTGTAATATATATTTCAGACCTTTAATGAACACTGGGACATGATGTACCCAGCCTGGACATTCTGGGAGGGCGGCCCGGCTGTCTGGCCTCTCTTCCCGACAGGACTGGGCAGGTGGGACCTCATGAGGGACTCCATCACCAAGTAAGTCTGTCTGAATCTGGGGAAAAAGGGGGCTGTAACAAAACTACATTGTACTGTAGCTACTTAAAAAAGCATCATACTTCATCTCAGTTGAGGGTAACTGCTTTACCTTTTACCTTTTAGTTTAACATGAAACTACATAACTTTTTCTATTGATCCATGACACTTGTTTTATACATTTATGGTATGGCATTTCATTTATTAGGGAAGGAAAAAAGAAAGAATAATTCATGATTAATTAATCCTCAGGGCTAACGAAGATTGGCCGTGGGATAAGAAGGAAGACAAGGCGTTTTTCCGCGGGTCGCGTACGAGCGCTGAGCGAGACCCGCTGGTGCTGCTGTCCCGAGCTGAGCCTGACCTGGTGGACGCTCAGTACACCAAGAACCAGGCCTGGAAATCTGACAAGGTCAGTGGGAGGGAGACTCACGCTTCTGTGCAGGGAGACCCTATTTATGTATCATGACCTGAGCTCATTTTCCTTGTTTTTAGAATCTCACAATGTTTTGTGGATTGTTTCTTCCCAACCACAGGACACACTGGGGATGCCAGCTGCCACAGAGATCAAACTGGAGGACCACTGCAAGTACAAGTAAGTTGTCACAAATTGCAGATATGTAACATTGACACTTACTGTTGTAGTGTGCATAGTCCAGTGGTCAAAGAAGTTGACTGTTGTTTAAGCTGTTTCAACCGTCACCAATCTGCAGACATTCAGTGGTAGAGCAGACACAGGTTGAACGACTAAGGCAGGAACACGTTTTCAAACATTGCTCATCACTCCCTTTTCCAGATACCTGTTTAACTTCCGTGGCGTGGCAGCAAGCTTCCGTTTCAAACACCTGTTCCTGTGTCACTCCACGGTGTTCCACGTGGGGGAGGGGTGGTTAGAGTTCTTCTACCCTGCCCTCAAACCCTGGGTACACTACATCCCTGTCAGTCAGGATCTCAAGAATGTCAAGTAAGAAGAAAAACATTCTAATTACTATGCATGTACTTCATAATTCAGTACAGCTTTCCTTCTTTTTATGAAGGATGAAGTTTTCTTACCAGATGTATGGAAAAAAATGTAATGAAAATGTTTTATTTTCCTCACAGGGAGCTTATTGAGTTTGCCAGGTCAAATCAGGGTGTAGCAAAGGAAATTGCTGAAAGGTAAGGAATTTTTTTAAAAACATATCTTGCTACATGTACATACAAGCTTGAATTTGAGCTGCACTGAAGGTTCCTAGTTAGGAATTAGAGCCTTTCTTTGTTTGAACAAAAGTCAACATAAGTGTGATAAAAATCCTTCCAGGGGTTTCCAGTTCATTTGGGACCACCTCCGTCAGGAAGATGTGCAGTGTTACTGGAAGAAACTCCTTAAGAAGTACGCCAAACTCCTCAAGTTTACACCCACCAGAAGGAAGGAGTACAAGCAGATTCAACCCAAGAACAGATAACCTGTATGGTCAGAGTAGCAGGCATCTTCCCGGATAGAATTCAGGCTGTGAGGAAACTTAAATGTATGTGTTTGTGGGATAAGACTACTTTATCATGTTACTTTCCAACACAGGTGAGCTTATGATTATTCCATATTTGTAATGCTAGATTCATGTTTGTAATTCTGAGAAAACAGAGATGTTGCTGTATAGTGTCGACTGATAACATTTCAGTTCAGAGTTAAAAGTGTTGCGTAGATATTCAAACAGTAGATTGTACATGTAGTTGCCATGTGTGATTCTTACACACAAATCTTGTTAACTGTCAAACAGAAAATTAAGCACAAACATTAATTCCTTCATAATTGAAGGGTTGAAGACTTAAAAGATGTTCCCACCGAATGTTTTTCATGTTTGTATATTGTGACGCACAAAAAAATGATGAAGTAAGAAAAAGAAGATTGCCACATCTCACAATCTTGCACCAAGCAATAATGTTTTCTGCAGAAACTGAATGTTACAAGAAGTGTTGTATATGTTGTGGTGTTGCACTGTTGAAAAAATACATTATAAAATTAATACATGTATTAATGATATACTATCAAGTTACTAGTATAGGATAGATAAATTTGGTGCTGAATTCGATATATTCCACAATGTTTCATCATTCAAAAAAAGCCACGTAACTTAGAAATTAGAGACTAATAACAATTGCCAGATGAATGGCATTTAGTGTGATCGTACCATGTATGTTTTGTGATATTACTACTAGTACTTAAAGGTACTAGTAAGTACATGTATGTCTAAACTTATGCTGCTAATAATAAAGCATAATCATATCTGTTACAGAATTGTTGGTTATCACAATGTCATGGGACTAGTACTCAATGAAGACAGTTGTAGCTACACAAAAATACTAATGCCAAAATAGATTAAAAGTCACATGTATTTTTTCACAAACATATCAAATCACATTTTGCATCACAGCACCTTGACAATAATAAAATCACATTGTATAAAAATGTTTATGAATCATATATTTATATTCATGTATCATATAAAATTATACATACATGTTACACATGTATATTTCATGTCACAAGAGCATCATATTGTCATTTCTTGTGTGTTCATTTTTGCTCCTGACATCACAGCTGCACTAATTGAATAACACTTGCTCTCTTAATTTGATCACTACATTGTGCGTTGATTGAATTTTGTACATCTTAAAATGCAGAGTCCATCCTTAGTACTTTGCACATCTTAAAATTTCAAGACATTCCAGAGTCCATATCCTCAGTAACAAAACATTGGTAACCGCCAATGTCTGAAACACATTGGGACCTACATTTTCTTTCTAACTAAAAGGTTAGGATAGGAAACAATTGTCTTGTAGAAGCAACACAAAATACCATTGTATGGAAGATTCATCAATATTCGTAATGTTAGATCAATCTTTACGTAAAAAATTGGCTTCCTAATTCCTTAGCAAAATTCATAGCAGTTGTACTTAAAAAAATTTTTTTTTTACATTTTTATTAAAACATAGTCAGTGGCATTTTTACGTATTTGTAGAAATTTTACAGTACACAGAATATCAAAAATACATGTTAACAACATGGTTTGTGATGATTTGGCTTTAGCCTATGTAACCCAAGCTCCGGGGGGCTCCCTACATAGTCCGCCACCCAAGACGGCTGGATGTTGGGCGGCCGGCAAAAGCGATTTAATCAGGCTAATTTGGCTTCATACATGTATTTCTGAAAATGCCTACCTAAAAGCATATAAATCCTACCGTTTCTATCTATTCCACCCAGCCCTCTTCACTAGAGGAAAATTGGGCGACGTTGATACATTATTGCAGTATTGGCCTCAAGTAAAACATTGCATCTCCCCTGTTCTCACATTTGCATGATGATTTTTGGATGGAACAGACTGTGTTACTTCTCCTTCTTTGCCGCCCCGTTGGTGTTTTTGGTCTTCTCTGCGTCCTGGAAGTTCCAGTCGATGGGGTTGAAGAGCTGCGCAGACTTCTTGTAGGTCCAGTAGGGGGTCATGACGAAGGACACCAGGGTCAGCTCCGTGTAGAACGAGATAAACATGGAGGCCGGCATGTCCGCCCAGATGTGGTCCCAGTGCCGGTAAGTCTCCATCCAGAAGAAGGCCTCCAGCACAGAGCGCAGGTGGAAGGTGTGGACCAGCACGCACTGGTTGAGCCACCAGGTCCGCGTGTCGGCCCGCCCGCACTTCAGCAGCACCCAACACAGCGCCGAAAACGGCGTGCTCATCTCCAGGATCAGCCCGTTGGTGGCGAAGTAGTGCGTGCTGCCGACCCACAGGATGAGGGAGTAGCCGACCAGCGACAGCCAGTGGTGCAGGTTGAGCAGGATGCTGACCTTGCGGAAGATGATGTCGGACAGCAGGAGGGTCGAGCACTCGAACAGGAAGAAGCCAATCGTGGTACAGATGGCGAAGAAGCTGGTGGGTGTGGTGGCGAACACGACATCCTTCTTCAGCTCCTGGTCCCACCACAGCGCCCAGATCCCCACCACGGTACAGAACACGCCGAACGTCGCCCGCACGATCGCCAGGTTCCAGAAGATCCTCTCCTTCAGACGCAGGCCGTTGTATGTCTTGAGGAATGAAGACAGGATGTGGCACAGGAGGTAGACAAAGGCAAAGAAGAAGAAGGAACCGGCGATGATCTTGAGCTTGACATGCAACTGGTTGTAGTCGATGTCTTCCCAGGAAGGGTTGATGGCACCGAGTAGACCCATGGCTTTGGCTTGACTGGGCTGAAATGCAGGTGAAATGGTCATGTGAATTTCAGGGTCCCATATCTGAGTACAAAGGTTATAGCTTACAAAGGCTAAGGCCATTACAACATGGGCAAACAATGATGTAATGTTGAAGAAATCATTACAAGAATCAAAGTAAAATGCCTCACTTAAGATTTATGAATGATACTAGTAACAATTAAAAGTCTCCTTGTCTTGAATTAGGGAGACACTTTCCAAACTTAACAATAGTGTTATTATAGACTATTTTCTTTGAGTCAACAAAGTTTTACCTGGCATGTGTGGCCTTGGGGTCAGGGTTGTTGACTCAGAATCTAGGACTCAATCTTTGGTTTGAATTAATTACATTAATGATCATTAATCACATGCAATAATTGTTAGTTTCAACGTACCTGTCCCTGAGTAGTTGTCTGAGCCATGGCACCTGAAGTGATCGAGTTGTTGGACAGCAGAAATGATCACAAGGCACTGAAATATATGATATATTACATGTAACATTTGTAACATTACATTCCTTTAATGTTCTGTCATTGAAAGAAATTAAAAATCTCTGACAAAGTTTTGAATCAGTGTCCTATTCATGAAGTTAACATGAAAGGGTCACAAACGTGGTTCCCACTGAAACGTGAGACAATGACCAGACTTGTTTATCTATCAGGTCATGCATCTTGGCGTCAGTACTACTACTAGTATATAGGATGCCCTTAGCTTTGCTGTCAGCAGACACTAAAATTTTAACATGTCACCTATAAATCACATACTCTTTGTGACCAGAAAGGCTTTGCTCAAACCAGGATAGGAAACACAAACCTTCCGTGAATATAAGCAGAACAAACTGAGTGAAAGCGAGTGTAAGACGGAATAATTTTTAACGCCAAACCAATAAAAAAGGAGGCGTAGCTGTTTACGTAACCCCGGAAACCAGACAAATCCCGACCGAGTTCTTCCGTTTCTACAACACCTAGTCTCCTTCGGGCACGTACCAGGTTAAGGATCAAAACAGTTTCTTACCTTACATAAGGACGAACCGGCTGGCAGATCCTTTCCTTGTGAAGCGTCACAGCTGACTAAAGCGTCACATGGGCTTTAAATCGACCTTTGACCGCCCGTTATGTTTACCCGTGACATGCACGTGGTTTGGGCCCTTGGCCCAAGTCCATGTTGAAAACAAACCTTGTCTTTCTCATCTAATGGCTTTGTCTCAGTAAAATGAGCGTTGCTTTGCCGTTGACGTAAAGGCTATAAAGCCATGTGACATGTAAACAACGATTATCCTTCGCGAGGATTAGAGGTTCATTGTCTGCAGTTTGTTGTAATTCCGCTAAGCGTCGCTTTTGGTCTACTTTGACAGATGACCGCTAGAGCGCATGTAAACGCATTTTGCGGTTTCGCCAGATCGAAACAAATCGAGATATGTATCATAATTCAACAAAATATCTATACAGAGATATCTTCCAATAATTCTGTAACTCATAGTGCTTCATATTAAATGGAAATACGGCATATTATGGAGTTATAGTCGGTGATCTTTTCGATCTCACACGTTTGGATCATACATCATGTGATTAGTTTTTCACAACATGGCGATGATGGAGGAAAAGTGGGAGTTCGACAGTTTTGACGACGGCTCCCTCAACAGTACGTACACTTCTGCGTGTCTAACTAAGAGTATTACAACTATTGGTAACCATATAATGAGTTGGTGTTGCTTTGAAGCTGATATCTGTCTTGGTTTATAAGAGCTACGATGTGTAAAATTGGTTCCGGTTTAGTTGATTTTTCAGGGGGAGGGGCGGACAGGTTTGCTTACATGTCAACAGGTTGTAAAGACAGGTAGTAAAAATTATAGTACATAAGTATATGTCTGTTGACTCTGGTACTGATGTCGTTTAGCTAGAGTAATTCACACATCCAAGGTTGAAGCTACAGCATATTTGCAAACGTATTTTTTTAAAGTAGAAGTTCTGGTAACCTGTTACTTGAAAATGTAGTTGATTAGATGACCTTTAATAGGCCCCAATACTCAGGTGTAGCCTAAAAACATATTGGGGTTCTCTTTGATACCAAACCAAACATATCCTTCTGTGCAATAATATATTGCCTACCTGGCTGAAGAGGTCTCTACTCTACTCCTAGTCAATGTAACGTTAGTACTGTCAGATAGGAGCTTTGAATATTCATGCATGTATATAACGTTATATCCGTCAACAAAGCCAGCCCTTGGAGGACAACAAGTCACTGAAGTCTCTCGAGGTTGTGCTATTAAAAAAATAGCCTATGATAAATTAACTACTAAAGCAGGACCCTTGCAAAATGTTGGGCAACAGATGAAAAATGTTGTTTACCTTGCAGAAATTGTTGGGGAGATCCAGTTGAAGAAGTATGGCAAGTTTATGGATGACTACGCCAGCCAGCTGAAGAGTATAGAAGATGCGCTGGACGACTCTATAGGAGATGCCTGGGACTTCACTCTGGACCCCATCGCACTGCAGGTGACTGGGACAATCATGCAGTAACTTAATTGTATAACTATAATCCTTGCTTCTAGATCAGACATGCAAGAGTCAAATTTGAATCCTAGCTTTCTTTGCTCACAGTTGTTGATCACCTTCTGTTAATCCGTGGGTACCACAACTATCTGCTGTACTTCAGTCTTGTCATCTAAAAAAATACATTGTATTTCCTTGCTACTCTAAAAGTTTATAGTAACATTAAGAACTGTGATTTGGGATCCCAACCCTGGTAAGAGCGTCCAAGGCTGACAGGGCATTCCAGTCAAAATAGAGGCTATTGATTGATTGGTCGATGAAGGTTAGACTCCAGGTAATATGATTGATTGAATTGAACTATTTCATTCTGTGTTTCTCCAGTTCCTGCCCTACGAGCAGACGTCTCTGTTGGAGTTGATAAAGACAGACAACAAGGTTCTGAACAAGGTGCTGACGGTGTTCTCCTCACTGTGCTGCGAGATGTCGGCCCTCAAACACGAGGCAGAGACCAAGTTTTACCACGCGCTGCTCTTCTACGGAGAGGGAGGTGAGAGAAACTGACTTTTTATCTGTTTTCTCCCCAGCTGTTGTGTTGTGATTATAGAGTCAAGCCTGTCTATAGTGACCAGTCATGGGTCAGCAGGAAAGATAATATAACAGACTGCTGAAAAGTGGCCACAATGGACAGGTGGTCCTTGTATACTGGTCCTTAAATGTGGTCTTTTGTACAGGTTTTACTTGCATTGTTGCTTTTGTTTTTTTTCTCGGAACTAGTTGTTTGGGCTTCTGTTTGTCAGGATGATAAAAATCTGAGTGCTTTTGCATCACTCAAACTGTTTAAAAATATCTCTATTTTGCAAGGATGGTACAGTTCTTTCCTTTATGTGTATAAAGTATTTCTAACCTTAAACATTTCCCCCCACCAGAGTTAGATAAGGTACAGGAGGAAGGAGAGGCGCAGGTCCAGATGGGCCGGATGATGCCCGTGCTACAGGAGCTGTCGTGTTTCGTGTCGCGCTGCTACGAGGTGGTCAGGAACACGGTACAACAACTGGGCTCATTACACACCAGTGACAGGTCAGTACATGTATGGGGTAATATCATCATATAATATACTGGAGCTAAATAGAAGATGATTGGGAATTTGCAGTTAGCTTATGCTCTACTGTTTCAGATAGTTATACTTCTGAGTAAAGAGACTCTTTTTACACAAGTCTTTTATTCGGCAGACGTTTTGGTGACTGTCTGTCACCTTCCTCAGGGCAATTCTGACTGGTTCACGTGATCCTGTGATGATTTGTTTCTGAGAGTTTGAAATATTTGCAAGATTATTGCATGCATTATGTATATTGCTAGCATTAAGAATTACTAGTAAGTATTGTATTTCTTCTTTACAGGACTGCTCCCAAGACAATTGATGTTTCTCAAGTGCACTTTCAGGTAAGCACGGCTTTCACCAGAGATCTGTGTCTGTGTTTTCATTGACTGAAAGCACTGCTGTTTGTGAAATATTGGACTATATATACTGTCACAAGTAAAGCATGTTGTTTTCCTTCCAGCCTGTTTATGAGCACCTTGGTGACTTACTGACAGTCCTGACCACCCTGGACTCTATAGTAGAGACACACACCATCCTCACAGACCACTGGACTTTATATAAAAGGTAAGAAAACTGGTGGTAGTTGTTGAGGAAAGTTTACTTCTTTGTTATAATATTGTATGTTGCAAAAGTATTCTGGAGGTGGAGACTTGTGAAAAAAAACATCTTAAGTCACTGACAAAAGATAAAGTGTGGATTATAATTTTACATATTATTACATGTACCTAAGGGTGTGGAGAAAAAAATTGGGTGCAAGATGTTGAGAAAATAGAACAATATGGATGGGGATACATGTACATGTATATGTAGTAATGTTTCTTGTCTGTACAGAATGCTGAAGTCAGTGAGGCACAACCCCAGCCGGTTTGGTGTGGCTGAAGACAAGCTGCGACCGTTTGAGAAACTCCTCATGAAGCTGGAGGGACAGCTGTTAGACGGGGTCATTCTACAGGTAAAACAATCAACAAGTCTTATATCTTAACATGCAAACTTTTGAATCACTCCAGCTACAGCAGCCTACATGTATGTTATCTGAAGAGAAGATGTACCTGTATACATGAACTTACAAAAACATGTCTCTTTCTTGCAATAGAAGTATGCTAAGCTATAGATGTTTATGTACAAAAGAAGGAACATAACAAAGTCTATCAAATTTGACAATGATATAGTTGAAGTACAATAGCGGAAGAAATTTGACAAACACTGTGTTTTTTGTGCAGAACTGTATAGAGCAGGTGTTTGATGAGCCATCTATCGGAGTGGCCAGGAACAGTGTTTTTGCTGAGGAGTTCCTACACAACATCAGGGGTCTCTTCAGTCATATGGAGGCCAGGATTGGTAAATACAATTATTCAGTTGTAGGGTTTGAAGCTCAGGATTTGTGAATGTTGTTAATGCAGACTTGTCAGGTACATCATATAAAGCTATCATTATTATTGAAATGTGGATGTATTTTGTTCACAATTTTCTGTATTTTTGAACCAGAAAGACTAAGTTCAACTTGGTATATATGGATATCTGAATACAGTATCAAAGGATTTTCCACTTTGATATTCTGTCCAAAGTTGATTAGTATTTTCACTTATTTGGTATGTTGTTTTGTTTACTTGTTTGTTTGTTTATTTTCCTGCAGGTGAGAGTAACGAGGTTGACCAGCGGCAGAAGTTTGTTGGTGTGTGCAGCCTCTACGTTCTACACTTCCAGATCTTCAGGACTGTGGACAGGAAACTCTTCAAGTCACTCTGGGATGTCTACAAAAAGGTAAAACTTCAGAAAACAAACACACAAAACATGGGACAATTAAGGTTGAAGATTCGCTGCGAATTCTGGAAAGTCTAATCAGTTGTTAGCCTTCTTTTTATCTACCACATGTATTAATATTGTCACATAGTATCATCATGATCTTCACAGCATGTGACTTGCACTAGCAATTTTTTTAACACTACTGCTGCTATAACAGTAGCAAACTGTAACAACTTGAACAAAACAACCACATATAAAACTGTTTCCTTGTTTAGGTTCCTGCCATCACCCTGACAGGGAACATCGTGTGGTACCCAAACGACTTCTTACTGAGTAAGATCAAACAGGCAGACAAGTGGCTGGATAAGAAGGCCGTCCTCGCTGTCAAACAGTTCCAGACTCAGTATCTACAGCAGAGGAACCAGGCACTGGCCAGGTATGACATAGTCTTAGGTTTTACCTCACATTGTAATCATTTACACCACAACAATGACTTCTTTCCATGTCTGTTGCTTCAAAATGTATTCTTTCAAATGAATGAAGCCTGTATGTTTTTTTAAAGAAAGTGAAACTAATTTGCCATTGAAGTCTTACACCAGTACAATATAGTGACTATATACATCATCTTGTTCTTCTTGTTCTCATAAAAAGAAACATGCTGTTGGCATTTTGTACCTAACATACAATGTGATCTACATACCGGACAGAATACTGGAAATAAATTCGCGGTGGAAAAGTGACCACAAAAGCCACAACAAGCCAAACAAATGCATAAAATATTTCAAGATTAATATTACCACGATGTCCATGCTTTGCATTTACACCTCCCCTTCTCTCTCTCTCCCTCTCTGACTAGTCTTTTCTCCTCTCCCACGCATACATTCTTCAGTAGGAGCAAGTAAGTCCAGAGTAGGCATGGCTTACATTGTGTACACTGTCATGTAGGTGTATGTCTCCAACATTGAACCTGGTACTGTCAGAAGTGTGTTAGACTTGCTTGAATGTATTAAACTTCAAAAAAGGTTTACACCTGCATTAGTTGTGAGGAATACAAGTCTGACTATGTGGTGTGGCTCTGTCTGTTCTACCATTTCATCAAAGCTGTCTTGTGTTAGCCTTTCAACAGCTTGTTAACAGTTAATCATCTGCTGGATATTCTTTGAAGTATTTTGCTTTTTGATTAACTGCCTGTCTGTCCTAATGAATTTAGGGGGAACAGTTCTTAACGGTGCACACCCCAGTTCTTCCGCGACCGGGGTCCGTGATAGTCCGTTGTAAAAAAGTGACGAAAGGGTTTTGAGGGTCCAAGTTTGAGGTGACATTTCTTATAAACTGCCACGAAGTATCATTAAACATTAACATGGCTGAAGAGTGTAAGAAATGGTGATTTTGGGGTGAAAATTTCTTTTGGCTCCGAACCTTACTTCCGGGTATCCTTGCGCGCCAAGTGTAATCCGCCCGTTTGACCTAGTTTCGCTCTGTGGCTTCGTAGGGTGGATTTGCAACCCTCGCGCCGTGGACTGTTTAGAAAATTACAGTACTAGAATTTTCTTTATAATTTACTCGGGTATAGTCAAGGCTTGGGTCTTTCTGCCAGCATCAGTCATTTCTGCCGGAAAATTTTTTTTTGTGGGATTATCCTACGCGAAAATTCGCAATTTTGGGCATTAATTTTGGAGTGAAAATAATGTTTTTTCCGTTGATTTTACCAAACTTAAAAAGGTTGAAGAAACCAAACTCAGCTTGTCTTGTAGCTGAAGATATACCCTTTCGTCCCATATACAGTTATTCTCCTTCCGAATTATTCCACGCCAGAGACGGTCGCTAGATTTGAGGGTGTGCAGCTTCGAAAAGAGGCCCCAAATAAACTGGGGTGTGCCCCCTTAAGATAATTTCATGATAAATCATGCACCTTAGGTATGCATGCTGCTTGTGCTTCTTTTTTTTTCTCTCTAAATGACAGTCCAGTTGCCTGATATAGAGCAGCAGCAGCTAATTACTTGTTAAGAGTTCATTATTTTTTAATGGTGCTCTTCAGTTGTAGGAGTAACACTAGCAGCAGATTCAGACTCTGTGTACATGTGTAATGGTACAGTTCGGTAGTTGTAACACTAGCAGCTAATTCGTACTCCAGGGAAACCCAGACTCACCACCTGCAGGTAGCAGCCTGGATGGTGAAGGTCGAGTCAACCTTGAACCAGAAGAACCTGATGGAAGATCTCACGTCAAGGTGTACCCTCTTCATACAGGTGAGCATCTTGGCTCCAGGTGTAGTCCCATTATATTCAATTTCATTTTTCATTTTGATCTCTCTAATATACCTTGGCCCACAACCACAAATTGGTGATTTAACTGGGGTATTAAAATTTGTGACCCCAAAATTGAATTTGCTTCTTGTCATTTATTGTCTGTGTACAGTCGAGCCTTTTACTGATGTTTATTTTTACTTGGTTGTTTGTTGTGCCATTAGGGAATCCTGTATGCGTACAGCCTGAGTCACCTGATCAAAACCACCATGAACCTGCACGTGTCCATGAACAAACCCATGACCAAGACTGCCGTGCTGTCCCTGTGTAGACTCATAGAGCTGCTCAAGGTGAGACACTGCTACAGTAACTGTACATATCTGGGCTTCATGCAGCTGTGTGAGATTGTGCAGCCTGAGATAAATGCTACAGATATTAGTCTGTTGATGTGAGTGTGTGTGTGTGTGTGTGCGTGCATGTGCGTGCCTACGTGCGTATGTATGCGTGTGCTATCTTGTCTATGAGTTTGTGTGCATGCACAAAGTACATGCATATGCACATATTAGACAAGTAATTAAGCTGTCAGTTTTTAAGGCTTTCCCCTTACTGTGTTAAGAGGATGAGTTGTTTGTACTGTCCCCTGCAGGCCATAGACCACACGTTCCACAGAAGAACCATGCTGATAGCAGACTCCATCCACCACATCACACAACACCTGTGTTTCCTGGCCATGACCAGTATAGAGACAGCCAAGGTCGGTTGTAATGCAAATTTACTCAATGAATTTACACTTGCTTATCTGTAGTGTATATTTGCTAGTTCCCTAATAATGTTGTTTGCGAAGTCTGTTAGTTGTCATATTGGAAACATTGTTTGACATTATATCTTCCAGAAACGAGTGAAGTCTGACAAGAAGTACAGTGACAAAGCCTTGGTGAGGCCTCTCTCTTGTGTAATCTCTGGTACAATCCCTGGAAGACTCTTATTCTTAAGTAATCTGTTACAGGTTGTTATGAATATGATTGCTATTTTTGAAAAAGAAAGTAACACATCTATATGCTTCCATACAGGATGTGATGTCAGCCCTCATACTGGCAGAGAATGCTCTCAACGGGTCAAGTAAGTTATGATAGAACTACATTTAAAGTTACCATAATGTTTTAAATGTTTGCCTTGCCAACTTGCTGTCTCAATAAAATAACTCTGATGTTAACATGTTCCTATGTTGCCTTGCACTGACCATTGTGTAAGATACAGAATGTTGACTTACAGTGTCTTAGTCTTATAACGGTATAACAAGCCAGTTGTTATTGTTCCTACAGTGACCAAGGAAAGAAGGCTCATTATCAACCTGGCAATGTGTGTGGGTGCACAAATGGTATGTCCTATTCTTTGTGGCCAATCCTTTCTGTATGTCTTGATTATAAATACTTGATAATAGCTTAAATGTGTGGATGGTTATGTTATGTTTTATTTCTGTATCCTACAGAAAGCTTTCAAAGAGGATGAACTGAACAACTTCCAGCTCATCATGAAGAAACTAGACATGATCTGTGACATCAGGCAGAGGTAGGTCAGAGGTCAAGCACAGGTTGACAGTTGGAGTGGATGTCTAATTTTTTCTGTTGCTTGCATGTGGCTTTTTTGATCATCGTACTTGATTGCAAAGTGTTCCACTCTCCAATACAGATTTTCAATTTACAAACACTAAAATCTGTAGAATGTGTTTCTTGCTGTGTTGTCGACTGGCACAAGAAACTTGACACACTTCTTTGTCTATCATAGTTACTCTATCTATCATATTTACCTAAACAATATTTCTGTCCAGGTTACATGCTGCTTGTGACTGCAGTTTTGTGTACTGGCACCGGGTGGTGTTCCCACTGTATGTACAGGATGTGTATGAGGACAGAGTAGACGCACAAAGGATACATGTGAGTATACTCAGAGCCATGATTCTTTCGGATTATTACTGCAACCAGCTGTGTACTATGTAATTGTAACCTGTTGGTAAATTGTTTGCACCAATGTATATCATCTACATGTACATGTACAAATGTATACAGTATTGTACACCATGCACAATTCAGGATGAGACACACTGTGTCTCACTGTGCCTCTCTCTGTCTATGTTAGTTTGAAGCTTGTTATAATAAATGAATGAATATACTAGAAATATCCTTGTTATAATAAATGAATAAATACAGAAATATCCTTGTTACAATAAATGAATGAATATAAAAATATCCTTTCCTGTAGTACATGTTTGCAGCCCTGCATGACTGTGTGGCTCCCATGCAGCACAGTAAACACACAAACTCTCCCTCTCCTGTAGTACATGTTTGCAGCCCTGCGTGACTGTGTGGCTCCCATGCAGCACAGTAAACATCTGGACTCACCTCAGACTCTGCTCAACATCTTCGACAAGGAGATCATGGACAGCATGCATGAGGTGGGGACATTCAATTTTATAAGGCTGTAGCATCAAGGCATTCACTCTGTGTCTGTCTAGATGCAGAGCAAGAATTGAGGTGTTCAAATAAGCACAGTTGGGGTATCATCACTAGAAAGCTTTAAATGTGCAAAGATTGAGTGTAACAAGCCATTCTGTGTGATATACATGTAGCTAGCTGCCACCACGCCAAGTGCCTGCAAATTAAGCTGGTGTGTTACGCGGAAGGGCAATTATCCCGGCTATACCGATACAGATAGATATCTCTGCCAATTGGGTTATGTCTTTATAATTATGTCTTAAACAGTGTACACTGTTGGCCACATAGCTTAACTTATGTTGTACCCCTGTCTCACAGCACATGCTTGACCGTCTGTGTCGGGACGTGGAGACGGACCTGCGACTGTCCATCCACACTCTGTGCCAGTCTATATATCTTTACCAACCTGGTTATGTCCCTATGTCTTATACCCAGTATACTGATGGTAGCCATCCTGCTAAACTTGCATCCTAATAGATTTGTAATTCCTATCCCTGTCTCCCAGCACATGCTTGACCGTGTGTGTCGGGACGTGGAGACTGACTTGCACCTGTCAATCCAACCACTATGCCAGTGTAGATATCCATGCCAAGGAGGCTTTGTCTTAAACAGTGATTAATGATGGTAGTCACACTGTTAAACTTGTGTTCTCCCCCTGTTCCGCAGCACATGCTTGACCGTCTGTGTCGGGATGTGGAGACAGACCTGCGCCTGTCCATCCACACTCACCTGCAGCTGGACGACAGGAACCCCTTCAGGACCGGCCTGATGGACCTGAGACAGTTCTTCATGATCCGACCCATCAGGTTCTTCAACAACTTCATCAATATCAGAGGTGGGGCAATGTTATTGGCTTCAAAGTGTTGAAAAAAATCCACTGCGCATCTTTATATCTGTTGCAGCACCTGGCTCAGTACCTATAAGTGGTCATTTGGCTTTGCATTGAGCAACACCGTTAAAAAAAGGAATGTCCAAGTCATTAGAGGCAGACTCAAGATAATGGCTATGTTGCTAAGATCTCTTATTAGCAACTACAAGTCTCAACACTCATGATAGAATTTGCTGGCAAAAGTTAGAAAAGAAACTTCCTCAGTTTGCACCAGTAGTTAGCTGAGGAATGACATTTGGAAATCTTCTCTTCGATAGAATAAAAGTAGTCTGTGTAATGCAAACCCTGCCGTCCATGGTTTAAGTTGGATAAGTATTAGGGTAACACATGTAGCATTTACTCCAATTTGGCAGTACTTTTAGCTTCTACATTCCTTTTCTGTCACTTGAAAGTTTTCCTAATAGATTTTCCCTGTGTCTGCCCCCTCTCCCCCAGCCTATGTAACCCACTACCTGGAGAGAACCTTCTACAACCTGACCACGGTGGCGCTGCACGACTGGAAGACTTACGGAGAGATGCGGAACCTGGCAGAGCAGAAGTACGGACTGGACATGATGGAGGCACACCTTCCCACACAGACTCTCGAGCAGGTCAGGATTTATTTACACATCTTCTCTCATTTTCCTCATGTTTACAGTCTGTGATGAATACCTTTCTTCCTTAAAATAATTACATTCATTGTACATGCCTCTGTCTAACATATATTAGATACATTACATGGCCTGGTATAAAAGCTGTCTTGTGAGATGAGGTCAAATGTGTTAAGCAAAAGTACATGTAATATATAACAGAATAAAGTTTATTATACCTTAAAAAATAGAAAAGTGAAAGAGAAAACTATCAGTACAATGACAAGGACAGTGTATATTGAAATACATGTAACTTGACTTATGTACAGCCCTACTTTTAAATAAGAACAACATTGATTACACATAACACAGTACAGTAACACATGAAATTGTAAGTTATTTCCTTATTTTTACATAGTCAATGCAATGAGCAAATGACAAGATTATCATAAGGTTGACACAAACTGAGTGTCTCCTTGTTTGGCCAGTTCAATGTGGCATTGTCTCATCAGTATTCCTAGATTTCACACTCAGGCAGACTTCGGGCATTGTGCTTGAACACAGGATCATACGTGTGAGGTCTAACCCCAGGTAATAACAAGGGCCTGAGTGGGATTTGTGTGCTAGTCTGCCTCACAGCCATGGCTGCATCACCTGTAGCCTGGTAACCTATGGGGGGTAAAGGTATGGTCTTAAACATATCAGGCTCTTCTTTGGTGACCTCTGTACGGTTGTGTGCACCAACACTTTCTGTGGAGATCTCTTGGTGCTTGTGCATAGCCACAGCAGGATCACTCTCTTCTGGGATATCTTCCATGGTGTATGTAACTTTAATATGGCCACCATCTTCTTGGGTTTCTTGGTTATTGCATATACTTGTACCATGATTGCTTTCTTCTGGGATCTCTTGTTGTGGTTTATGCTTATTTGTAGCACGATTGTTTTCTTTTGGAATCTCTTGCTGATTTTGAGCATTCGAAGTACAATCATCCTCTTGGTGTATGTGTGCATTTGCAGAACGTGCACTCTCTTCGGCAATGTCTTCATGGTTGTGTGTAGATGTAGCAGGTTCAGTAGCTGCTCTGATCTGCTGTGGTTCCTGGTTGTGTGAACGACGACGTCTCGTGTACCGCTTAATCAGACACCCTACAATTAGAGACAGAAGGAAAGCCCCCACCACCGACACCACTATGGAAATTGGCACATGGTCTGGAAAAGATGTTCCTTGGTCACCTCGGTCGGTGGGTACCTGAACTGGCGAGCTGGTTGTTGTTGTTGTCGACATCTGATTTGCTTCCGTGGTAACAACAGAGTCATCAGCTTTCTGTGCAAGGAAACAGGTTTGGTTGTTTTGCCTTCGATGCTGTGGAACCTGGACTGTTAGGTGAGATGTACTGTTCTTGGTGATTAGAAAGCAACTTATGTTTCTAGTGTTGCCATGACTGCTGTTTGAGTAGTTGATGCTGTTATTTTGTGGGTGGTCGAACACCATGGCTACAGTTGTGAGGGATTTGTCCCGGTATGTGTCCATAGGTATGAGCTGTAAGCTCAGTCTCTCAGAACTCCCCAGAGCCAAGGTCAGACCTCCGCTGTGCCCCCAGGCCTGGCTACAGAGCTGGGGTTCATGTGAGGATCCGTTACCAACAATCAGGACAAACGGCGCCTGAGTCACGGTGCTGTTAACCCTGTTTTGGGAATCCCCCATCTCTGGGCAGGACCCAAAGTGACTGGCTGCCACCTTCTGCCACGCAATAGTCCTCGGACCAAACAAGGAGGACAGTTTCATTTCCTCACTTTCAGGGTCATACTCAAAACAGGATGAGAAGCCAAGCCTTTCCAGAGATACATGTATGTCCTGGTTCCCAAAAATCGACACCCTGGTAAAAAAGCTCCATGGCATTTTACTTGGTGGCTGATCATGCATCATTTGTAAAACAGTACCACTTACATTGAGGCTCTTTAACCTGCGTAGTCCCCAAAACGCATCCTTATCCAGACAGGACAGGGCGGTGGCACCCAGGCCCAGACTTTGGACGCCTGGCACGTTACGAAATGCTCTCGGACGAAGGTATGTTATTGGGTTGGACCCCAGGGACAGGGTGTGTAATGTGTGTCTGGACATGTACCTGTATAGTCCATAGAACCAGCCAGGGTTCACCACCTGTAGTAAGTTGTGTTGCAACTCTAGCCTGGAGAGGGTGAGGTTGTCAAACGAGCCCGGGTCGATCTGCACGATTTTGTTGTGAGACAGGATCAGGTGCTGGAGCCTTCCCAGGCCGGCGAACCAGCCCTGCTTCACGTGTGTCAGTTCATTCCTGGCCAGGTTTAACCTTAACAGCCTGGTAAACCCTCTCAGGGAATTCTTCTCTACATCCGTGATTCCGTCCTCAACTAGAGCCAGGCTGTCCAGGGTGGAAGGGCGAGGGATGGGCAGTTTACCGGTCGAGAAGATGCCCAAGGGGTAGCCTCTGATGCCAAGAATGGACCTGGCTGTTTCCTCACCGAGGCACACTGGAGTTGATATTTGTGATTGGGTGATGTAGTCTGGATTGTTGCACAGGATGCATGTCTGGCCGGGGACTGTGCTGGTGTGTTGGGACGGCCGTGTGTTCTCCAGCTTACACTCTACCCAGCTCACCCTTCTGCAGTGAGTGGGGAAACACAGGCCATCCACAGCCACACAGGTGACCAGCAGGGTCAGGATACACAACATGGCAGAGTCTGTACACTGGAATGGAAATGAAAAATATATCTCAACTCAGTTCACCTTACTGGAATCCTGTCCTGGTCTTTACATTTGAATTCAATGGCATGTACTCCACCATTAAAAACTTCCATAGCTGAGACTTTTCAACATGTACAATACATGGTGAACCCCATAACATTGCCACACTCCCTGTCCCAGCTTCTCTATCCAGGATCAAAATAGCTAACCACTAGAAATACACACTACAACATTGTAACTATGTTAAAACACTGTTGGAGTGTTTTCTGTATCAACATATATAAGAAGTGCAGTTTCTGGCTGGGCCCTTAACATACCTGCTCTTGTAAGATTATGTCCTTCCACGGAAAAACTGCCTTTCTTGCAAGCCTTCTCTCACCCAGCCCTACTCCACTGATACATGTAACACAACTGCCAGTATTACCCAAGTAAGTCTCCAGATAAATCCCCTGTTCATATCAAACACTTGCGGTCATGTTAAGAATCAGAACTGCCTTTGTTCTGAAGGAAATTAGATACATGATTACCTCCTGGTACATAGAGTTGTGCAATCCACTTAGCCATACTTGAGTAGGCATTGACCAGTTCCAATATAAAAATGCCTCCGGGCAAAGGATTAATAATGTAGATTAGACTGTGTGAACTTTATCGGTAGGTAGGAAGAATTTGTAGGGAGGTTTATTAAATTTCAAGTGAATATAAAGAGGTCTAAACCAGCATTGTTTTACTTTGTACAGGGCCTGGATGTGCTGGAGATCATGAGGAACATCCACATCTTTGTGTCCAAGTACCTGTACAACCTGAACAACCAGGTAGGACATTGTAGACAGCTATATTGTAGACCATTTATTGAAGGATATTTTGTATGTCAGCCATAGGACTTTTCATGTGTTGTAGAGTAAGGAAGTTCAGTAAATTTATGTTAAGTCCAGTGAAAACTACTGGACAGTATGCTCACATTTACATGTACATGTATATTGAAAGAAAGATGTCTATACTGTAGGGTATCTATATGTGCCAGTAATTGATTTTGCAGTTGTATAAGGTAGGATTCCCAACTAAAGCCTTTCCTGTAATCTGATATATAAGATTAGAATTGTTTCTCTTTTTCAACCAGGCATGCTAATGTTATGTAAGACAAGTTATCTGACTGTGTATATTATGTTTCTTTGTGCAGATTTTTGTGGAAATGTCCAGTAACAACAAGCACCTGAACACCATCAACATTCGCCACATCGCTAACTCTATCCGCACACATGGCTCAGGCATCATGAACACTACTGTAAGTAATATAATCATACATTGTACACACACAATTTCAGGGCTGGATTTTAGATGGTTTGAAATTCAGGCATGTGTGAAATTACAAGTTTTAAATCGGATGTTTTCTTTTAAAAAATGCTGACTGCTCAAGTTATTTTGCATTCTATGAATATACAGAACAAAATCAGTATACATGTATCATTTCACTATCTTATATGATCACACTATTAGCTTCTGCTTATATTTGAAGTTTCCCATATATGAGTGTTGAATGTTTTCTTTAGACCAGTACATGTAAATGTATTTGTTCTGTAATTTAGGTGTTTATCATTATCCCAGTGTGAATGTTCACTAATAAATCAAAGTGCAAATAACAAACAAAAACTTCACTTGTACATTGTACTCAGTCTCACTAGTAATTACTTAACAAGTCATTCTCCTTCCTCCTAGGTGAACTTCACCTTCCAGTTCTTGAGGAAGAAGTTCTTCATCTTCTCCCAGTTTCTGTACGATGAACACATCAAGTCCAGACTCATCAAGGACCTGCGTTTCTTCAAGGAGAACCATCTTCAGACGGATCAGAAGGTTTGTACGTCTGAGACACTGCAGGTGTTTCTTGTCTCTTGTCTTGTGCAATCATCACAGTGCAACTGTGTACTGTTTATTTTGTATTGTATTGTATGGTGTGAAATTGAAAACAGATTTTGAGCTAACAACTTCTTATACTGTTAACTGGATGGTCTACACATATCCTATTAGCAATTAAAATGCAAATTTCTGAGTAGTATCCAGTCTTTGATTACACTGCTGCAGGGGTAAGCAACAGATGGCTAGCCTTTACAGTGTTTGCCCCACACCTCTGGCAAGGCCACACTGTCTAGTGTCTTTCCTACCTGTCAGCTACAGTTCAGTGATGGAGATACACTGGATCATTTGACGTGTCCATGCCACTTGAGTTGGCGTGTGGAGTGATCAAAGCACCATAATTTAAAATGCTGTAAAAATGCAATATAGTATAAGACAACCGGCAAAGCTAACCAAATTCACTAAAATCCCAGAAGTGAATTGTACATATAACCTTACACTAAGTCAGCACCGTGGTATTTAATTTTTCTAACACTCTTACCTGTGATTCCACAGTACCCGTTTGATCGTGCTGACAAGTTCAACAGGGGGATCCGTAAGCTTGGCATGACTCCTGACGGCCAGAGTTACCTGGACCAGTTCAGACAACTCATCACACAGATAGGTTTGTAGACTGGCCTCAAAATTTGTTGTATTTGCTTTAAATTTGCTACTTAAAAAATTCTGAGGATACTTAAAACATATTTCAGTTGTAAATTTATCTCTGCTGTTTGAATGAATGTAACACGTGATTTCAAGACTTTTATGACATTTAAAGTTTTAATGTCAATTCATATTCTAATGTTTTTGTTTTGCTACATGTATTTCCATCAGGCAATGCTATGGGCTATGTCCGTATGATCCGGTCTGGTGGTCTTCACTGCTGCAGCAATGCCATCAGGTGAGGAGATTAGATGCTACTCGTTCAGGTGGTACATAATACATGTATTGTTGATGGGTTGTAGATGGGAGGGACAAAAGAGCTTGCCTCAGTACATTTGTCCAATATCATGATGATGACAATGATACATGATAATACATGTACTAAACTTGATGTACTACTGTAACAGCTTTCCATCAGTACCTAGATGTACATGTACATATATTTATGTATGCATGCATTTTGCCATTGTTTCCCCCACCAGGTTTGTTCCTGACCTTGACGACATTGTGACATTTGAAGACCTGGTGAAGGATGAGGGTCTGTCAGAGGAGTGTCAGACCTCGGCCAGGTTAGTCGGACCATTAAATTTCCTTCCCTGGGTATTTAGGGAAAAAAATAACCTTAGCATGAGCCCATTTTTGGTCTCATGATCTGTGCTAAAGACTCAATTTGAATGAATTCTATTCAGTCAGTATAATGCTATTATGCATTAGTGCAAGTTGAAAAAAATGCCAGTAGCCCCCTGTACATTTATTATCTTTTCCTGTAACATGTAAATTCTTATCTGCCCCAGACATCTGGACACTGTCATCTCAGATCTTGTGAAGAATTTTGCAGAGGGAACAGAGTACTTCAAGGTGATGCACCATATTAATCTTTTTTAAAGTTTTTATTTGAAAGTACATAATTATGTACATGTTAAATCTGTTTAACCACCATTATTGAAGTACTGTGACACTAAGTCTTGCCTTAAGTATTGGTTCATTACTAATTGCATGACTTTCCAATGCTGTTGTCTTAAACACTACTTTTATGTTGTTTATTTACAGATGCTTGTTGACGTCTTTGCTCCTGAGTTCCGTAACCCCAAGAACATGCACCTGCGCAACTTCTACATCATCCTCCCTCCTCTGGTAAGACTCAAGGTTCTGTCAATTGACCAGTGATGGTGCTGTAGGTGTACAAGACCTGTCAATTGCTACTGCATTTCAAAATAAGTCACTACTGGTAAAGTCAATCTCACTACTGAACCAAGCAAAAGTCAAGGATTCTAACCAAATGATGTCATTAAGAGATTAACCAGGCAAGAAATGCAGATACATGTGCTTTGAAGACAAGTTCTAATGCGTTTGTTCTTTCCAGACTCTGAACTTTGTTGAACATTCCATCACCTCAAAAGAGAAACTGAACAGGAAGAACAAGGTGGGAGCAGCTTTCACAGACGACGGCTTTGCCATGGGTGAGTGGTTGACCTTGATGTCCTGTTTGTCACAAGAATAAGAAACTTACAGTACAACATGTACTAGCTGACAGTTGTTAAGTTACTAAGTCAACCTGCTTATTGCTGTCCAGACTTGTACAATGTAAGGGATGTACAACTATGATGCTAAAAGCTAAAACTCACTCCAGTAAAATGGAGGACAAATGTTGACATCAGAACAAACTTGTTCCAGGTGTTGCCTACATCCTGAAGCTTCTGGACCAGTACCATGACTTTGACTCCCTGCACTGGTTCCAGTCTGTTAGAGAAAAGTACAACAAAGAAAAGGTAAGTCTTCTACATGTCCTTTTATCGTAAATTCAGTAGGATCTACATAAATTGTACCTTGCCTCTGTGATGTGATTTATATGATGAAGAGGGAAGCACCTTTAACAAAACTGCTCCTTCTTTTAGGTTTGGCACCTACTTATTTGCTTTCCTCTTAACACTTCATCACTCAACTCAGGTGAAAATGTGTTTGTTTGAACCACTCACACCAGGAAGGACCCCTACTGTTTCTGAGAAGTGTGATGGGTTCGTAATAAAAAGAAAGTAATATGTTGAGCTTTATTCCAACACAAGGATTACACAGAGATCAGATTTCCAATGACCACATTTTACTATGATTGCTACCAACACAGCTGAAGTTTCATGATTACCGGTATGTAACAAAAAGAATTTAATTCCTTCCACCCCCCTCTACAGAGACAGATCCACCAGCAGCTGCAGACATCGCAGACAGTGGAAGATGAGAAGCTGCAGCAGACCCTGAACCTGACAGTACGCCGGCTGGACGTGTACGTGCAGGAGTTCGACCTGCTCTACTACTCACTCAGCTCTGCAAGGATCTTCTTCCGCGCAGACAAGACAGCCGCCGAGGAGCAGGAGGAGAAGAAGGAAGGTGAGAGAAACGTCTAGAAGAAATCTGAAAGTAGCCTGGAGTCCAGCTTTGTTAGCTGTAGTCTGCTCTTCAAGATCCGCCAACCCACGAACAAGTTGCAAAAAGTCCCAGACCTGTTGGGTTATGTTATGAAAGATGAACCATTTATGAGACTAAGGCTGGACTCCAGGCTAACCAGAAAAATCATTACATGTAGAATGTAGTAGGGGGTGTGCAGGAAATGTACTATGTATTTTTGTGCATGTACAATGTAAGTCTGTGCAGATTCCTTTGACATTCCCTTTCTCAACCTTCTTAATGTAAACTCGCTGGACAGAAGCAGCTGGAGATCTGTCATCAAACCCTGATGCCCAGAGTACAAGCACAACAGGGAATAACTGACATTAGAACACATAGTGAGTGTAAATGTGTGAGTTGTTCTCCATCCCTTTGTTTGGGTTTAAGGTTGATGGTGGTTGAGTTTGGTGCATTTTTATGCTTATTTAGAGCATGCCTTACACCAAATTGGTACTGGTATTGTTCGTTTGAACCATTCTTTATTCATGTGAAGTTCAAATCGGCTCTACTCATGTTACATACATATTTTCCTTCCCATTGTGGTTCAACCTTAACAGTCTGGTCTCTGGGTTCCCATCTTAAAAAGGTTATAGTCACCTGTTATGTCAATCCTTTCTTCTTGGTTGTCCATCGTTAAAGATTGTTGCACACGTCATATAAAAAGCTGTTATGGTAGAGAAAGTTCTGTAAAGTGTTCAGAGAAAGTTCTGTAATGTGCTAAGAGAAAGTTCTGTAACATGTTTCTCTTCTCTTCTCTTGTAGCTGAGAGCAGCAGTGCCGCCCAGCCAGGGCCTGAGGCACCTGCAGGAGGAACAGCTCCAGCTGCAGCACCTGCAGCACCTGCTGCTCCACCACCACCACCTGCAGGGGGAGGGGCACCCCCTCCTCCTCCTCCACCCCCTCCACCTCCACCACCACCCCCTCCCATGTAAACCCCTACACCACCACGCCCTCCTGTGTTAAGACATGATAGTACAATTCTATAACAGCATTCAAGACGTCACTGTGATCTACAACATTTCTGTTGTAGAGGAGACATACAGCCATTTGTCCTTGAACACGATAGAAAAAGTAAACTAGGTAATCCCTGGTTGGCTCAACTCTCAGGCTAGCCATTTTAATACCCTTTGGCTACATGCAGCCAGCTTTGATTTGCATGGCAGACAAAGCAACAAGATATAAAAGATTGAAATTATATTAGAAAGGTGTAATTAAAACATATAGGGAAATATTTCCTGCTAAATTTTCAAGGAAGAGATTTCTGTATTTTTTTTCCTTTCAAGGCATCTTTAGATTCTTAGATTTGACTTCAAGGTGAAGATTGGTCTTCATGATCATCTAAGAGGTGCATTCTATGATCCAGGCAGTAGGGACAGAGCAAAGTGGAAACTTAATCTTTCTAGCAGGTATAAGCACCTTTCCAATTCGTTGTTCGAATTCTCTTTGCATTCTTGCCAAATTTGAAAGTTTTAAAACTGTTTTCACACCTATAAGATAACCTTACAAAGGTTTTCATCATACATTTTGCCAATTAAGGTTTTGTGAACTGATAAACTATCATGGAAAGTACTAAATCTACATGACAAAAAATGGAGGATAGACATGCTAGAGGCCAAGCATAAATCATAAATTTTCATGATTGGTGTCCAAAATATACAATATTGGAATGTCAATTGTTATCCACATATTGTTTCAATAACTGATTTTGATTGATTTTGATGAAAATTCTCCAAGAAGTCCTTTATTTCTTCTTAAACTTTAAAACATCAATGGCCCAGGTTACATAAATGAGAAAAGATTTCGAGGGGTCGAAACAAAGTGAAGCAAGAGGACCAACAAATTCTACCAAGCTGTTAAACAAGACCATATAAGACAATACTTGAAAAAAGACACCAACAGTCTTGTTGACACTTGATTTTATTCAGAGCTCTTAATTTGCTTTGATTTATGATTATTGCTTAAAATGACAAAATGCTGAATTGATTATAAACATTGCTATGTATATTAATGTACTTGACTTGTACACTATATTGTAAATGTATTGAACATAATAATATTCAATTCAGCAGTATGTTCAAATAAACAAGCGAATATTGAAAAATGTGTGAATTGTTCAATTTTTCCACAATTTGTTTTTCTTTATCTATACACTTTGATTAGAACTAGAAATGCAAATTACAGGTTTACATCATGTTCCCTTTTCAATGTTCTTGACCTCAATATGTTATAGAAAAATAGTCATAGTAGATAGCAGGACCAGCTGCATATAGAAAGGCTTTTAGTCCAACTCTTTAGAGATATATACAATTTTACAACTTGATTCAATAACTGTATTTAATGATTGTATCTTCATTTTCCGAGATGTTTTCGGTCGTCATGGCTACGTCTAAACGAGGCCTTTGCTTGATCTTAGAAGGCCCTAAAGCGACAGGAACGTGGACATACGATCGCGACTTCTGTATCTGTTCTTAAAACATCAACTGCAAAAGAGCCATAAAATATGCATATAGGTTCTGTTTCTTCTCTCGCAAGTGGCTTTACGCGTGCTTTAAGGTGTTCTTAAACACAGGATTTCGTATTGAGTTCATTTTTGTTCTTAGGACATCCGGAAGGCAATCCTGACGTTTTGCCATGACTTAAACGTTCAGTTTTGACGTCCTGGCTGTTATATGCGCGACATGACGAGCCCGCCCTTTCCGTACTTCTCATCAGCGAACGTGACGTGTTTGTTGATGATGCTGGCCAGGCGGCTGAACTCCCGCGAGGACGACACGGTGTTGACGGACGACGCGCTGCTCTCCGTGTCCTTGCTGCTCGTGCTGACGTCGCTGCCCCGCCGGTGGCTGGTGCGTAAGATGGGGCGTTTGCCTCGTCTCTGGATGGAGTCTGTCCTCATGATGAGTCGTATGGACTGCGCGTTGAACGTCTCCATCGTGGAGGAGGCGATGGAAGAACTGTCCTCATCAGACGCGATGTTGCAGGAGAAGTCTAGAGTCCTGTTGGCAAACGAGGAAAACAGGAAGCTCCTGATGGGAGTAGTTCTACAGGAATCCAGCGCGTCGCTGAGCGAGCCGTTGTCGACTGCGTGGATGACGACGCTGCCAGTGTCGCTGCCGGAGCTCTGCGGCGTGTCGCTGTCTGACTGGGCGGTCTCCCCGCCGTTCCTGTGAATTATAGTCCCCAGGACAGAGTCCTTCCTGTGAGGAAAACGTGTCGGAAAAGGACGAGAGGACTCGCTCTCGGTAGAGTCACTGTCCGTGTCCGATCTGTTGACACTAGTCCGACGAGGCGCGTACTTCGGTCTTTCGACGTCTTTACCAGCGCGCCAGTTCATCTCGACGATGCTGTCGAACTTTATGTCCTCGGGCACTGAATCTCGTGCCCTACGCCCGCTCACGGGTCTCGATTCCCGTTCAGAATTTGTCTCGCTTCTGCTTAGCCGCCTCTTCATGTTCGTGATGCTGAACTTTCTCGGCTTCCCGAATACCTGGTGGACTTTGTTAGCGAGGGTCTGCGCAAGAGTGTACGCCCCTCCCGGGCTTTCTTTCCCGTACACCGCGCTGTCAGTGTCGCTGCCGAGTTCCGAAATGTCCCGGTCACTGGCCACGCTCTCTGTACCGTCGATGCTTTCGTGAAAGACCGGATTGAACTTAACCACGACCTCTTGCGGGTCTCTCAAAACTCCAGTACGATTCGCCTCAAGCACTCCGTCATCCATGCCCCTTACTCGCGGGATCCAGTCGTCTCCCATGTAGATGTTGTCGTAGTTCAAGTCGAAGTCTAGCATAGCGAATCCTCCGTTGACGTGCCCATTGTCGCCTACAATGTACCTGCTGCTTCTGTCGTCTGGCACGAATTTCTGAGATTTCCCTTTGCTTGCTTGGTACCTCTTTGCCATAGATTTGAGGACAATGACAACGGCTAAGACCATCAGAACTGCTGCTGCCACACCGGCGGCCAAATATGTAGCAGACAAGGGCGCTTCAGAGGGAACGGTTGCCGGCGACCGAGTTGCAGATGGTATTGGTGCCGCTGTGGAGCGTTCCAAAGGCGGGATGTAAATGAGGGAGGTAACAACCGGCCGGGACGGGCTGCCGGCATTCCCGCTGACGTCAATCGCGCGAACCGAGAGGAACAACGTGGCGTTCTCTCTGACGTCAGGGAGGGCGATGGTGAAGGTCTCCGTCTGGCCGGCTTCGCGGGGGTCCGTCAGGATGCCTGACGTCACGTTGTCTTGAAGGATCTTTGAAGCCCCTTCGAAGTTGCTCAAGATGTCAGACAAAGAGTCGCTTATTCGGATGTCGTAGTGCGACGCTGTGTGGGGTAAGAAAATATTGGCATTGTTAAGCATAACAGCATCTTACTGATGAAACAATCTTTGCACGTATAAATGGACACTAGCTTAACAGTGACACTAAATGATCATTTTGAACTGTCTTTTTCCAGTTCCTTCACATGTGATTAGTGTCGACTTGTTCTCTCAGTTCATTTTACTGACGCTGAAGAAGAGTGTTGGATGTAATCTCCGTAATTTATCCAGTAGTAGAGTTAGAATTATCATTGTCTTACCTTTGCCGTAGTTATAGTCTTCCCCGACCGCTGTCCAAGTTAAGGTGACCGTCCTGTCCTGACTGGACACTGCAGTTATTCGCAGGTCTGTGATACTGGAAGGGTCGAGGTCCGCGTGGTCGGTCTGCACGTATAACTGTGGGACGTCGATGACGATTGCGCCACCTGACGTCTTCCGTTGGAACTCCTCCAGTGGTACCAGTACAACCTCGACCTCCGCATCTGGAGAATTTAAAATCACAACAACCCTAAAGCACGGTTCAGTGAAGGGGAAGTGAGCATAAATATTTATTCTGTCTCCCACAGTTTGAAGGACAATAATAGACTGTATGTTCCCGTACCTGGATGTGCTATTGGAGCCCCCGCCATTGTCCCTGGCCCTTGTGAGAGGACTGTTCTGTTGCCGTCGTTGTCTGCCAGAACCGAGACGGTGTACCGGGTGGTTTTGCCGGCCGCAGCTCCCAGCTCGTTCACCAGGAGGAAGGCAGAGTAGACACCATCGCCAGCGGACACATCAGCCCCTGGAGTGGGGAATATATGAATGAAAATGCGACTAATGATGCCACAATCAACCTTTCAGGAGTCTTTGACCAAACCTTGTGGTCACGTGTCTCGAAGGTCACTGTGTCAGAAGTGGGTCATTCACCCTGATAAGGACCGAAAAGTATGGCAGTTGTATTCAATGTATTGGAACCAACGTAGACGTTATGAAATATAACATTTACCAAGATTGAATTGAATATATTAGATGCATATAGGCTCATAATGTCAATCCCAAATGGTGCAATTACCATTTGTAGGGCTGTGACAGAACACAATAGTCAGATTATGGTCAGGAGAACTACCCACCTACGCCGTTGTCGAGCAGTGTAATGTTCGTATCGTTCCCGTACGTTGTCTCCACCAGCGCCGCGACCCTAGCCGACAGAACCGGCGTGTAACCCTTCCTCAGGTCGGCGCGAACGGCGATGGCGTCAGACGACTGTCCCAGGGTCACGTGATGGTTGCTAAGGTGACACGTCAGCGTGATGGTTGGGTTGTCAGGGTCGTCAGGTTTTGAGGTGACGTCGATCTGGACGGACTGGGCAGTTGTGTCTCGTCTCGACCGCGTGGCTTCGTTTTGGATTGAAATGGTCCATCTTCCCGTCTGAAATGTAATGCGGATACTTATATTACAAAGCTAGAAAAATCAATGGTTCAAATTCAATGGTTCAAATATTGACCTTTCGCGGAAAAAGTGAAGCCATCTCAGTGTAAAGAACATATGTTAGATTGTTATTTCTCTCTAAGGAAACAAAAGTTTTGCTTCATTGGCCACTGTCGACCTGACCTAGTATACTGCGTAGCTCCTATGTTCCCGTTTTGTAAGAAAGCTGTTCACAAATATTTCGTGTGCAAGAGTATCCTTGTCTTGTACCGATTAATCTCTTGGGGAAAACCCCAAGATTCAAATCTGAAGCTCACCTTTGCTTTCCCGCCAATCCGGAGGAGCATGGTTCTCTCTTCGTCGTTGTGGTAGAAGTCAGAACGTCCGTACGTGACGTCATCCGGATCGGTGACCACCATGTTCAGACGTGCGCAGTCCCGGCAGGCGAGCCGGAATTCCGTTTTCTCGCCGACGGTGGAGTCGATGTAGACGTGTTCGTGCAACCTTTCCCCTGCGCCTAGGCTGTGTGAGAAGGTCGCAAGCTGGAGAGGACGAGAAGACATTATTGTTAATTTTAACGGCAAAAGTACAAGTCTTTCTTTTAATGCTAACGATTATCATACTGATCATTCTGGCATGCTAATTCTTTGCAAGAGTCCGGACTGTAGAATTTTTACTATCGTACACCAGGGCATGCCCTTACTCGTTTCCGGAAGGTGTGGTGGGTTCTTTAACGGTCTAGTGTCTGGCTATCCCTGGGCTCCATTTAACGTCCAATCCGAGGGACGTCGTCCCTAAACGAAGCTTAGAGGTATACTCATTTTCAGCTGAGTCCATTGCTCCACGGTGTGTACCTTTGTAGCTCAAGTGGGATTCCTTAGAATTCTAAGGAACACAATCCTACTGTAGCGTCGACTGCCACAACATGCACAATTGTGGTAAAATTGACCACAAACTCACCGAAACAGGGACGCTGGTGCTGTCGTCGTCCACGTACTTCAGCACGGTCGCCGTGAGCGCGTCATCCAGTGCCGAGCCCCCGGCGTCACTGTCGGGGGAGAAGAAGAACTGGCCTCCCGTCACCTGGGACAGCATCTGGGGAGGGAGAACATGGACATGGAAATATCTTAAGAGACAGATTTTGTGAATGTCCAGTTAGTGTGCGGGGAGAGGACCCAATGTCTTCTGCATCACAAGGTCTGTCACTTAATGTAATTTAAGGAAACCTTAATACTGCCGTATTGATACATGTACGACATCGCCACAGAATTTTTAAAGTTACTTTTTCATCACCTGCTACATTTACATAAGGACAGAGGAGAAAACAGCGACAATTTTTAATATCGTTTTTCGTAGACATGAGGCCCGCAGGAAAAGCTAACCACACATGCCATTAGTGTCTACGTGTTCCTACAAATCTTACCGGTAGCGCCTCTTCTGCCCCGTCCCCCAGCGCGATGGTGTCGATGACCACGCCTTTCGCCGTCTCGTTCTGCAGCATGAAGATGACGGAGTTGTTGAGGCGCCGGTCTCTGCCGTCAGTGATCAGGATCATCTGCCGCGGCCCGGTACTGTCTCCCAGCTTACGGTCCTGCACCGCAGGGCCAAGGATCTGGAGAAAAAAAATAGAAGGATTTTCGTGAAGAAAATGACGTCTCCATGTCTTTTGGCATGCCGTTCAGTCCACTTTCTAGTAGTCTTTATAGTACTGTTCTTCGACCAAGAATTGAAGGCCAGAGGTCAATGTGTACGTAAAGGAAAAGTATCAAGCTTCTTTCCTGTGGATACACTAGACATTAGATGCATCGGTTTCCTGCCTAGAAATATCTGTTTTTGAACCTTTATTAGTCAGCTGGATAGCCACGTTTGGCGTAACACGTACACCTACATTTGTCACGTCCTGTAGATTGCCCGGCAATTTATTAATATCTCAGAAAAAAAAAACCCTCTCACCTGTACTGCCAGCGTGACTGCCCGGGTGATGTTAGTGCCGACCCTCCCCGTGCGGTTTGTGAGCCCCTCCAGGGTCATGTTGAGGATCTCCTCCCGGACGGCGTCTCCGTTCAGCTGCTCCAGGTCACAGATCTTCTGACTCGTCCCGCGGAACGTCACGATGCCCAGCCACGCGCCGTCCTCTAGGGTGGACAGGATGTAGCTGGACACTGACCGGCGCAGGCGATCCATGCGGCCTTGACCCTGTGGACAAAAAAAAGCAGTCCTTTTAGACAAAATTTGGTGTTTGCCTTTTTCAAAAGTATCCTGAGTGTTATCTAAAAGACAGGTCACAGATTTGAGACGTATCCCTCATGGTAAGATAGATAAAACTGAACCTGAACCCAATCGCTTGTCCCTAATGTCACGTGACGAAAGTAGTGGTCATTATTCCTGAAGAAAACTATATATACTCTACCTCTAATGACATTCAGGCTTGTAGAGACCAGACCAGTAACTGTCTTTTCCCCCACGACAGTACAAGTCGATGGGATAAAGTAAACTTAAAGTGACTACCTTCGTCAGTAGCTTCCGGAAGATGGTGGATGTCGTCTGAAAACTTTGTATTGTAAATCGTGTGTACCAGTTTAAAGTTTCCTTCCTTTTAGAAGGAATTTTTTTTACTCACGGTCATACTTCCCGACACGTCCAGCACCAGCACCACCCTCCTGTCGGTGCTCCGCACGATCTGAAAGGTCGGTTCGGTGTACGTTTGAGACAGTTTTGGCGGGTTCGCTCCCCGTGCGAAGTCCCGGTGGTCCGACAAGACCTCCCAGGCGCTGCGGCCGCCACACTGCAGGTTCTGCGGGCTGGGCGCCTGGCTGTTGTGGTAGGACAGAGGGTCACCGGACTCGTTCCCATGGCAGAACTTGAACACCTGGGAAGGAGATGAAAAGGTTGTTCTCTTGGCTCTTTGGGACTTTTCTACGGTGGCCCACAGGCACATGCACGGTGTGTACAGGGGTGTACATGTGTCGCAGGGTATGTCGTGGATAAGGCAGGGGTATGTCGCGGATAAAGCAGGGATGTCGCGCAGATAAAGCAGGGATATAGAAACTTGTACCTGTCGGCTACTGTACTTTTCGCTGACTTAATAGAATGTTTAAGAAAGAACTTTAAACCTGCACGCGAAACATGCTTTGACTTCTGTCTTAACAAAGACCAACAATGTCAAAGTTTCCATGCCATCTCTTTGTTATCAATTTCCAGTTTACTTCATTTTCAGCGTTAATCTTGATTAGAAATCAATACTTTTAATGAAAACCCTTGTGGAATCTTAATTATGGCCTGTAGCAAAAATCGTTGTACAGGACATTACTCACCGAGTCCAGGTAAGGAGCATACAGGATGGACCCTGTGGCGTCGGTGTTATTCCTGTCCACTTCAAACCTGCAGCCGGCCTCGTACAGGGCAGTGGCCGGGTCCCGCCGGCACGGCTCCCCCGTGTCCCTGTGCCTGTACGCGCCGCGGACCGCCAGGGAACACCGCGTGGCCTGCACCTCGCCGTTCTCGTGCAGGTAGAACGCATTGTCGCCGGAGGCGTACTCGTCGAAAAGCCCCCACCGCAAATGGCCCCATTCGTGCACCAGTACACGACCTAGCGGACAGGGGTTGGAGGGGTGCATGTTTGTGATTTAGACGATATAAAAAGTGACACAAGATCATGTTTTTATTGTTGTAGCACAAAATTATTTCATACACTCGACAAAAACTACAACTTAAAATGAAGCTTAGAACGCGTTGTCTCCCGAGGCGTACTCGTCGAAAAGACCCCACCGCAAGTGGCCCCATTCGTGCCCCAGAACCCCAGAACACGACCTAGCGGGTAAGAGTTGGAGAGGGGCATGTTTGTGATTCAGACGATAATGAAACATGCATTTGCGTCATCAATTCCTTTTGATGTTACAAGTATTTTCTCGAGATGACCAGCAAAAAAAGTGACAAAAAAGTGACGCAAGATCAAGTTTTTAGTATTCTAGCACAAAATGTTATATGCACTCGACTAAAACTACAACTTAACGTTGTCAGGATATGACGAAACAGTAGGACAAAAAGTCACTTTTGTGGGAGTAGATTAACACTGTGTCTAGTTTGAATATTTTGGCAGGCTTATGGGATCAATACGGGCCGTGTTCTTGTGTCGCTAGTGGCCTTCAGCACACACGGCACGCACCACAATAATGTGAAGCACCTCTCCACCGCACTTCTGGGGTCAAGCAGCGGCAGGTGAACGTTGTTTTGCGCTTACCCCACCTCCCCCCCGCAACAGGCATTTAGTCTGCATCCGAGCGTAGCCTGGTGTCCTCCACGGTCTATCGTGGTTTGGGGAGGCTCTCTTCGGGGCTGCAGGAGCGCTTCGCCGCCCAACTCAACTAGACTCCCCGGTAGGTTTTTGCGCGACGGAAGTTCAATTAGCCTTGGTGGGGCTAATAGAATTTTTTTCCGAACAAAACACCTACAGGCGCAAATCTTCTACCTTGCGGCCAGTTGAGCTGGTCGGGGAAAAACTAGTACATCTCTAAAGAGGGCCCACCCCTACCACGATAGACTGGACACTAAGCTATTAAGCCCGAGCGAAACGAAATAGCCTTACCTATAGGTCCGTAGTTTCTGGTCACGTTGGGGTCCGTTAGAAATCCCGACGTGAGGTGCAGATACTCCCCGGGCTTGCCGCACCCCTCCGCCCGCTTGACGTACGGCGTGTTCCCGTACACGGGGTTGGCCCTGTCGACTCGCACGGCCGCTCGGCAGAACGTCTCGTCGGTGGCGGCGGGGTAGTCTGTGCCGTTCCACGTCCTCGGCAGTAGGATGGTGATGTTGCCGAAGTAGGCTCGGTTGTCGGTGGCCAGGAAGAGCGCCCGGGAGGCGCGGTTGAAGGCGTCCTTTGTGAAGAGACGGAATAAAATACGATTCACTGAGTTGGGAAATTTCAACTGTGTGTTTTACCGCAATACAACGACTGATCAACAAACATTTAGTGATTTAGCGAGCCTTTTCTGGCAATAAAAATACACAAATCACTGACGAGAGATGTTATAAAAGCTAATTTATCATTTTCATACACGATGCGTCGCTCATAATGAAAAGTACGTTTCCAACTTGTACCCCACAGTTCACAGGAAACTATAGATGTCCTTATAAGAGGTTACATAAACGTAACTTTATCTGAAAGCCAACGTTAGCTATAACAGTACTTCTCAACTCATTGAAGATGGCAGATCTTCGAACGAACCCAATTAACCCTCACTCCTGTTGGCAGTGCTAACTAAGTTGAACAATGTCAAGGCTGAGTCTATAGTACTGCCGTGGTTTCTATTCTCCTGCCATTGAGATGACAATGTTTACACTGGATTGAATTCGGACGTTGTATTATCTGCACACGTTTCCTTACAAGCAGAGACGGACAAACTTTGCTAACTCACTGTGAATATGCTGCAGAAAGCCAAGTGTAATCATAATAACCATATTTCGCCAAGGCTTTGTTCAAGTGTTGATTGAGAACCCGGTCTGTATTTGTGCCACAAAAACACGTCTGAAACACGATCCGACCGCGAGCGTTTATATCATAATAGCCGCAGACGTCCTGACCAGCATTGCTTACGGGTATGTATTGTGGGGTCTCTTTTCATAACGTCGTCTTTTGTCCGATACCTGGAAAAATGCTTCCTTGTAAAACCTACTGCGACACAGCCTCTGGTAAACAAAGTGTGTTTACTTTTTTTTTTACAAATCTCAATCCACGTATTTGCTGGTGAATCTAAGATAATCAATTTCTCCCACGATTCTTTACAACACGTTCTTTTGTCCGATACCTGGAAAGTGCTTTCTGATGAATTGTACTGCAACACATTCCCTGAGGAACAAACAACATTTTCTTACGAATCCTAATCCCACGGCGAATCCTTATATTTGTCGATGAATCTAAGACATCTTGATGAACATTTCTCACGTCTCCCTTTCTTATCGGCCTCCAGGGAAACGCAGTGATTTGGTAGTCAGTTAACAGGACACAGCTCCTGCTGATTGAAGCGTTAAATGATACATTACAGAGTAAACATCATCATGTCGGATCTGTTGACATGGGAGGACGATGAACACGTCATTACCCGACCGCTGGATAGCTTAGGCAAATCCGCAAATATCCCAGCAACAACACGTTATTATAATAGGACATTACCGAAAAAAGGTCACACCGACCTTACGAGAACAGAGCAACCGTTGAAGGTAATAAAACAACCTGGCCAAAAATATAAGAACGGTAGATAAGGGAATATTCATTTAGCCTTTAACATATATGGAACACCGTCCAATGTCTACCCTTGAACAGAAGAGGGAGTGCCAAGACTTTTGTTACTACTCTCTGTAGCTAGAGACTCTGACGTAAAGAGCAGTCACAGTAAATCAAGGCGTCATTTTCTCAGTCCACCATGCTTGAACTACACAACAGAACGCCGTCCAACGACCGTGTCTCCAAACACATTTGCTACAGAGTGCCCGTTCCGCAGCGGTTACCTCGTGCGGGTGAACCGCGTAACAAGCAAACTGTGGACTCAACAAGGCAAACACAGTTATTGTAAGGCAGGAGAAAGGCCATTCGATATATATTTGTTTGAGCACGGGCTGCCTGCAAAACTTGAACAAATATAATTATAGCCATTTGAAAGGAATGACGAAAATCACGGTGCACGTTAAATGGGCCCTGTGAACGTTCGAACGTTCAGCAATTTCGTGGGTTAGAGATAAATGGAAAAGGCGGACTGTGTTTGATAAATAACGTTAACTGGATCATTGCTATGGCTATTTTGGCTGTTTCATGAACTACGTACACTAAGCGGACACGTACGACTTTTTTCCAGGTAATCCCACGTGTTAAAAGCAAGTTAATGTATGTTTTAGTTAAGTTGGGACAAGTTTTCCCTGCTTGTTATGCTTCGCCTTGGTGACGATGTGAACGTCTATTGTGAGTGTGAGGAAGAAATGATCCGGGCAAAACGTAACATTCTCATGGGTCTTAAGTCTAAGTGTTTCTTACGCACGGGGGCAAGCTTAAGTAACCATGCACACATGTGCGGACAGGTGTTCAGCACTTAAGTAATGATAGAACACGGCATCGTGCCTCACTTAATATCTTCTTTTCAATTCGATTCCGTCCACAATTTGTACATGTGGCGTACTGGTTATCCTTAAATACCTAACATGAACGTATAAGCAAACAGTATACATGGGTAACTGTGACCCAAACTGTCGCATGGTTTAGAACATGATTGGGAAATTTTATACGCACACTAAATACTAGTAAGTTAGCCACGTACAATGAGCTGATGTGTAACTGAAGACGATTAAATGGAGGACTAGGATCAAGCTTTTAGATTTCACTCAGCCACTATCTAGAACATTCATTTCATGCAAGTAATCACTATAACGCTATACACCCATTCTTAGTTAACGTGTGCAATTGGGGTTAAAAAGTGATAAAAAATTAAGTTGTCGCTAGGACTTGCCAAGTGGTCTTAACTTATTCCCTATACTATTGACTTTATTAGGCTACTTTTTTTAAAGTGCCAGCTGTTTTAATTTGTGAAATATCGAATATTTATCTTTATCATGTCACTTTCAAGAGAGTGATGTCCAAAACACCAGTTTACACACTGATAACGGTCTGAACATATATTGTTTATTGTAACAAACCACAAAAGTATTTTTTCTCAACAAGAAGCCCTAGACGAACCTCCCAAGGGGCATCATCTTACAGTCGTGTTCGTTTTTAGGCATTTATCATGAAATGTTCGCATACTAATAGTGGTTGATTTTAGGAAAGATAACTGCACAATGTAGTTTTTTCTGTTGTGAATACAAATTTTACTATACTTAATATATTTGTACTTCACGGAAAGCGGTAAGAACCATGGAATGCAGTATTGATTACAATTTAAATGTATCTGCAACTGCACTCTGGGCCAACGCTATCATATGTTGGTAACGTAAGTAACAGCATTGTCACGTAACAATAACATGGTAACAACAATCGAAAAAAGTGAATGTTGCTTTCCCCCCTAACTTAACAGCATGCATACAACGTGCAAGTGATGTCATCAATGCTACTTCTTGTTTTTAGACATTTATCAGAAACATTTGCATGCTAAAAGTGGTTGATTCCTCACAACATACATGTAACTTCACAATATTGTCTTTTTTTGTTTGTGAAAAAAGGTTTTACAATACATTTGTACTTGGCAGGAGGCGGTTATAACCACGGAATGTAGTAATTGAAATGTGAAGTATCTACACTATATACAAACGCTAGCAAATATTGGTAACGTAAGTAACAGCTTTGACACGTACATAACAACATGTTAAGTACTGTTGAAAAAAGTGAATGTTGCTTGTCCCCCTACTTTAAACAGCACTTAGAACATGGCCGCCTTTCCTCAGCCAATCAGGAGCCTGTATTTCTTGTGACTAAATCCACATAGTGCGGTCCCCAAAGGGACAGGGGTGTACTAACCAACGAATAAATTAGACTAAGTCGGAGACGCCCATGTACTAACCAACGCATAAATTGACTAAGTTGGAGACGCCCACCGTTCACATGCAAATAAATTGATTAAAAAAATTAACAACACAAGACAACAGCAGTTTGATCAATTTCCCTGTACATCTTTATTAAAAAAGGTAGACAAAAGAAACTCATGACAAGGAAAGTGAACAACGAACAGAGAATGAATAACGAGTATGGATGAAGCAAAAAAAATCAGAAGGTTTCTTACAAATGCCATGTATAACGAGAGTTTCTCATACATTGTAAAAAATGAAACACAGAAGCTACAAACTTTTAGCGATACATTAAAACGATGCAAAGTCTTCCCAACATGTCTGACATGATTTGCTCATTCTTAAACTTTGAAAACAAACCATGGTAAGACTAAAAAAAGAATACACCAACATGCTTAGACAGCAGGGCAGGCACTGGGCGAGGGAAGGAGGTTTGAGCAGGAACGAGTCGGCCCGGGAAAAGAACACTGAACAGGCCGGCAGAGACGCCACGACCAACTTGTTTGGGATCAGGTCAGGGACTGCTGTCTCAGACAGACAACCGAGAATTTTTTAACCCAAAAACAGAAGGCATTGTGGGGCTAGCAAAGTGTTGTAAACCATGACAAGAACTGCTATGCATATTTCACACAAGGCTGCGAGAAGTAGCTCAGCTGCAATTCATGAATGAGAACAAAAGGACGTACTACAAGCTGTAATGTTGGTAAGGTTTCAAGGAAAACAAACGTGTGGTTTTTGAAGAAAACAAACATGACTGTGTAAAATGTATTTCATCTGCTTCGGAAGATGGCCATGTTCTAAGTCAGTTAAAGGATGGGCGAATTGCTCGTATATGTGGATTTGGTACAGCCCCGCACCCCCCTCGGATTTTGTTGGCACCCCTCGGGCTCCGCCCTCGGGATGCCAACAAAATCCTTGGGAGGGCGGGGCTGTACCAAATCCACATAAACTCGCTCCGCCCATCCTTTAACTAATACAAATACATTACTAAAATTTAGATAAAAGTTTATCTTTATTTTATAATGCGTCTAAAATTGATGTGAGAACTCTTTCGAAATCCTAAATGTCGATTCTACTGAGACAGATTTCTCATGTCGTGTGTATCCCACTTACACGTTGTCTGGTCACGAAATCCATTTGCGTCAAATCATCCCTTGCAGTAACAAGATGTGGAGCGCGTCCTATGACCCTGATTATCGTAAAATGTCGCTGTATGTTCGATACCGTGTATCGCAAGACAAATCGGTAACGTAAGTAACACGGTAACGTAACGCAACATTTGGGGACATACCCATGAAAAAAATATTAATAGTGAGCCACCAGAATTAAAACGAGGTAGGTAAGTAGGTATCTCGGCATGCCCTTTCTACACAAAAGGCAAGGGATGGCCATTTCATTTACAACCTATAGTAAGCACGGTAACGTAACGTAACATTAAAAAGTGGCCGTTGGCCATACCCTCACAAGATGCGGTAATATTTGTTGTGTGAAAGGACTGTCCACTCTTTCACGTCTTTAATGCTGTACAATACATGCGAGGCTACAAAATAAGATAAAACGTTGGTGGAAACTGTAGTTTTATCTGTGACTCATGCCCGTATTTGTGCGGTAACGTAAGTAACCTAAAAAACTTGCGACAGTTTTCAAGTGCGACCAGATGTGATATAAGCAGAAGATGGACAAGCTCCTCCCCCTGCTTTATAATGGTCTAATTGATGGGTATAATTAACCAACGGAAGTCAAGTCAGGGAACACATTTTAAAGAAATAAATGTAATGGTTAAGTGCTTTTTAAGATTTGCGACAGGTGGATTTTTACTGTCTCCATACAAAACGCTGCCATTTAAGATCAGAAAATGGTCAGCTGTTGCGGTAAAAATGTAACACACAATATTTCTAGGGTTCATAGATTAGGAATAACTATCAAATACGAAGTTATATTGTAATTTAGCTTTCCGGCAGCCCGATACTTTCTTGCGACAGCAATTGCACACGTTAACTAAGAATGGGTGTATAACCAATAGAGACTTGCTAACCCAGCAGCTACTCCCGAGTGCTGAACTTAAATCAAGGAAACCCGTACTTACCTTGATAGCTTGGACCAGACTGTCGTTCTGTGGAACACTTCTGTGCACGCCGATCACCAGGCCGGTGTACTTGTTGTTCTCCAGTTTGATTCCCAGCGCACTTGTTGTGTCTCCGACGGTCAGAACTGTCACTAACAACACTACCACTGTGTCTGCTATGCTCCTAGACTGCTTCATGTCTTCGCGTAGTTTCGTCACATTGACGGACGAACAACAGTTTTGTTCTCGTAGATCGTCTGACAGCTACTCAAGTCAACAGGGTTCGCGGTATAATATCTTTCCTCATCCCCTGTGCAGGCAACTCAGGAACTGTCCTGCCCAAAACCTCTCCCCGTACGGCTCTCAGACCTGCCGTGTGGCCGGTTACATGTTGCCCGGTGCGGGAGACGCGCGCTGCCCGGCCGTGCTTGTCGGTACGTCGCCGTGCGAAAGTGAAGAAAGTGACCCCGTGCCTGCAACACCTGCCGTAACCCTGCCCTGACGGGCGAAACCTGAGACGTCGGGTCACGCCGCTTGTTTAGACTTTCTCCCGTCGGGATCCGGACGTGGCGTCGGCTTTCTTACAGGGAGACCCGCGCGGACGTTCAACCTAAGAAGACGTCGACGTAATCTCCGGATGTTAGACAGTCGACTTTTCTTTCGCTCGTTCCTGGCGGGAAGGCAATCTTTCGTTGCTTCTTGAACTTAAACTTCATGTATTGCTAACAACGACAGGTGTTTCTTAACAGTACATAATGACGCCGCGCCCTGTATGTTCACACCCACGCAAAATTAGCAGTCAAAGTCTCTGTACACGCGCAATATTCGCACATCGCCCACTCCGTAGCCGATAGAGATGTGGCTCAGTCCGAGAGGATTTGTATCCTTGTTCTCCTCCGTCAGATCAAACCGCGGGAAACTCCAGATAAGGAGCTTTGCGGCGCGTTTCCTGTACGCTTCGGGAATCAAAGCGGCTGGCTTACATAAAGTCACGGACACAAAAACGTTCTATTCCGTCGAATACACAATCAAAAAGAAGAAAAAAAATTACTATCAGACACAAACGGTTTTTCTGGTTAAAAGAAAACTTGTTTTAACGTCACTTCGCAATTTGTACCCAAGCCAAACGTGGTCTTACACAACACTGCGTGCGGATAGCACAGAACCAATACGTTTTGATGCCATCAATTGCCCTCAAATATTCTAAAACCACTCCACAAAACTCTCGAGTTTAACCAACTGAAGTGCTGTGGGAGAGAGACAAAAATGCCGACACACCATGATAGGCGCAACAAGCCGCAACAGATGCATATCAAGAGTAACGCTCGAAGGGCGCGCTGCCAAGCCGGAAAATGGCCGGAGTGAGGACCTATTGTGGGGGTAAGTGTTTGCTGGGACCTGCTGTGGTCTGGTACGGATCGATACACCGGCTGCTACACAACAATCAGAAATAAACATGCCGTCAGATTTGTATAACGATTGACCGGTTGACTGGTTAGTTGGTTGGATGATTGGTCAATTGATTCATTGATTTATAGATAAATAGATTGGTTTAAGCTCCTTGGTGTAACAGAGAGCTAAATATTAATGGATGATTAGCCTACAGATGATAAGTCATTAGCGTTTGCCTTCGGTATATTTTCTGTTTTAGAAGATAGACTCTGTAAGGTTTGCCGACGTACGACGATGAAATTGGTCTTCAGCTCTTGAACGCCACACTTCGGAAGCGGCGCGTCCTGTCGACAAGCCGGGCAGTTTCCCCACTCGGGCTCTTCTCCAAACACGGCTGAGAGAAGTTTTGAAGGAACGGTAGCACTTATTATATTTCAGTCCATACCATGGTATATGGATGAAATATATTGTGTTCTCTGATGTTTCTTCTCCTTCTCCTCCTTCTCCTCCTGCCACACAGTCAAAGGGATTCAACTCCGCCATCATTCAGCCAAATGACTTGAAATTTGGCATGGAGGTAGAGTGGGCCAATACCCCCAGGCGTTTTTATTTTTTTGATACATGCCTTTGAAACATTTTTATGAAGGTTTTTTGGGGCATTTTTTTGCCAAAAAGTGGATTTTTGGATCCTGAGCCCTGGTTTTACAACCAAATGATCTGAAATTCGGTATAAGGGTACCTTGAACATGTGTCTACAGAATAGCAGTCACATATTTGACATACACCACTTCCAAATGACTCATTTAGGGGACTTTAATGGCTATTTCAGGCCAAAAAAGGGGCCAAAAGTGCTATACCCGTTCCTTGTTCTATATAAAGAATGGCCTGTTCCATCTGCCGTTGGCCATGGAACGCGTGTTCCATTGCGGGTTACCTGGGGTCACATTGCACGTAAGTCGTGCGTAATGACCCACACATTCAATTTTATGTGCCCAAGACCTTCAAAATGTATCAAATCTCATCATTGTTAATATTTGCATACCTGTAATAAGATTAGTAAAGCTTTCGAGATTCAAACTGCTTGTTCTTGCATCTTTGTTCTCAATTACATAGCTACTATTTAATTCATTTATTTGAGATCCTTTGCCAGTTTTGCACTGGGGTAAGTTTGGAATAGTCCACTTTTGCGTGGGAGGGAGATGGACTGAAATATGCCGTATTTGCTCCCAAGCAAATGTCGGCCTTTCTAGTTATAAGGCTGTTTGTGACGTTCTCCAAACAGATCTGTCATATGAGTTCTTCGTCTGTCAGATTTTGCTAACCATGATAGACACCATCCTATGTATGTGCGAACGTCGGTACCCCACAGAAGCATCGGGTAATTAAGGGCAAAGCTTCATTAACTGTTACGTGTAACGTCAAACAACTTACTGCTCCTATCTTAATTGTGTATTCATTTTCGTTGTGCAGAGAACATACAAGGGTGGATTTTACCCTTCCCCATTATGCTACATATTAGACAGTGTAGTTCCCTTTTATGTCGCTATGCGTCGTGTCTAAACGGTTGGTTTGCAACAGAGCTTCGTCATGTCCTAACTACATTACCATCTTTCGCAATGCACACATGGTGTAGATCATTTGGAGAAGTTTATTGATTTCTTGTCAACAGACGTTACAAAATACCACTCATTATATCTAAATAATTTTTTCTTTACATTCCTATACACTGTAATTCACGGGTTTCACTTGGCATATACATTCGGTATAGCAAAACGATTCATTGACACACATCAAATATAAACTTGAATGTCAAGTAATCTATATCACGTTCTTTAAATGTTCTTCTTTGTAGCTATTTAAGCAGATAAGACACACTGTATGTTAAATTGCAGGTTTCCGGTTATCATAGACAATTAATTTTACAACCCACAGACATTGACAAGATTAGTTTCATCGTTTGGCAGACACCATTGACAAAAGCAAACAAAGCACTCATGCCTCTGTTAAATATCACCAATATAGACACAAAATCTTTGTTCTTACAAACGCACAGTTACAAGAACACAAAAGCACAGTCATGTCATCACATACATATGTTCTTGGAACCACGTTATAGCGTTGTTTTGTTATGTGAAATCCTCTGTTTATGAAAGCAATCCCAGAGATTTGCCCATCAGTGACGTTGACAATAGATATGCCATAATGTGATAATGTGATAATACTACAAAACAAGCTTAGAAGTTGCCCTCAACTCATTCAATTCTGTGGACACAGACCCCCTCCTGCCTCACTGAAAGATCCAACAGGACAACAATACCAAAGTTACCGCTAATTATAGACTTCCTATAACCCACTGTGAATCAACTACAGCATGAGATCGGTATGCAATATAAATCACAGGGGGAACAAATGGATTGTTCTGTAGTAATGGGTGGTTTGTGCTGAAGCAGTAACGATTATGGATTTCTTGTCCGCTGAGTCTGTGAGGATGTTGGATCTCAGGTCTATGCAGACATCAGTAGATGTGGTGCTTTTGTGTCAGGGTCGATGAAATGTTAGTTTACACGCGGTTGATTTCCGGTTGATGTTCAACGACTCAATACACGTGTACGCGGTTGGGAGAATGACCATCAACCCCTTCAAATATACCTTCAGAGCTTCACAGAAACAGCAAGGTTGCCCAGCCGCCCCATGTGCCACTAAGCACTATCGACCTAGGCTCTACCAGGCTTCGGGAGGCAGCTGGAAAGAGTAAAAATTGGCAAGATAGAGAGGTATTACATGCCAGGGGACTTGGTCCGCTAGAGAGCTTTGCCGCACTCTATATGTCCAATTTCTATTCTTTTTTAGCCGCCCCTAAAGCCTGGTAGGGGCTAGACTAAACCTTCAAACTACCAACAACTACACTGCTGACTTCAGCACACCGTTGGAGTTCGGCACCCTGTTACCATTGCTTGAACCGGAGCTTTTTCGTCTCGTGCCCAAATTGTCCATCTCGATCGCCAGCGTGGCGCGGCGGTTGGGGTTGGGTTTCCTCCTGATGCTGCTGCTTCTGGACAGCCTGTGGAACGACCGTCTCATGAAGAACGGGTCCGTGTACGTGTCCTCCGTCTTGTAGAGGGAGCTGGGGCGGGACCAGCCGCCGTCAGCCCAGGAGCAGGGCAGCATGGACAGGATGGTGTTCTTCACGTTCAGGTTGAAGAACCCGTACACGATCGGGTTGAAGGCGGAGTTGAAGAGGGCCATGGTCTCGGCGATGACGTACGCCACGTCCGGCAGGGACTTGCCCGTGTAGACCTCGTACAGCGTGACGACGAAGTACGGCGTCCAGCACGTCACGAACCCGATGATGATGCAGAGGGTCATCTTGATCGTCTGAAATTTACAACGTGACGAAAACGTGAGGGAAATCAACCAAGAATTGATGTGTTAAAAAACTCGTGCTTTCCAAGAACTATCGTAGAGTGGAACTCGTTGCCACCAAGTACTGCAGTTAAATGCCTGTGTAAAGATTGGGTGTATCAGGTCGTATAGCTAACTGTCGCTGGGCCGCGTGCCCGAGAAGGTGGTGCGTTGCGCCGACGGGCAGTTATACCGGCTACACCGATACAGATAAAGAAATCAAAACTTGAGAACGAGGATTCACCACGGTCGTAGGTTACTAGTAGTTGTATTGTTGAACAATTATACAGTATTGGTCTACTGTCTAGTCACTATATCTATCTTGGGACGTGTTCTTCTGACAATCGGTATCTGAAATGTCGTCTGCCTGTCCACACTCCTAATTGAGCCTCCTATTGTCACGACCTCTATATTGATTTCCACTAGACTACGCCGAGGCACGTATCCATCTCCCCGCCCCTCACCAGAACCGCATCGTTGGAAAATGGGGTAAAGAATTTCCCAAGTAGCCTTCAAAACCCTGCTTCTCCTATTAAGTAAGTTAGTTATCTCTCTTAGCGAGTCGAGCTGGTCTCAATCACGATGTTTGCTTCTTAGGGAGAACAGATGCTGTTACAGTCTGATTCATGTAACCCGTAAGGCCGATTGTTGTTATGGGGTGACCAATAAGTATCTGTCTGTATCTATCTGTCTGTATCTGTATAGCCGGTATAACCGCCCCTCGGCGTAACACGCGGCGCGGCGGCAGCTGACACCGAACGAACTGTTTTCGCCCAATCTTTGCACATCTAACCGCAGCAGTTATTTAAAGATTTGTAGTGATGATGCCTCAACTGTCTTCTTCTTCTTCTTGTATCCTCATCACGAGGTGTAGCAGGAGAAGTTCTGCTTTTTTTTTTATATTCCGAAACATGCAATCACAAGACGTGGTGACGGCACACTCAAGTTTTTTTAACTTATATTAATGCCGCCACCAACACAGGGACAGTACAATACTCATTTACACCTGAGCGAAGTGAGGAAAGTCGTGTAAAGTGCCTTTCCCAAGGGCACAAGATATCGGTGGCATGTCAGGACTCGAACCCGGGGCCTCTGGTTCCGAGTCGAGAACGCTGCCGCTACGCCACACGACCCCAGTTCTGCTTCCAGTACTGTACACTGTACTACAGTAAAAAAGAAGGATCTTCACCTTGATTTTAGCGGACGTGATGGTGGACCCCGTGCGGCGCATCCCCCTCTGCCTTCTGCAGCTCATGCGGCGCTGCTCGCGGTCGGTGTGCCACACGGTCCTGACGATCCGCACGTAGCAGCAGGTGATGATGACTGCGGGCGCCACTAGCACGTACACCGCCATCCACGTCATGTACACCTTGCGCTGCCACTCAGCCGTGTACCCCTGACTGTACACAGGGGAAACAGAGAGGTAGTTATAATCTTCAAGCAGATCTTTGAGTGGCTGCAAATTCACGTATCTAGTTGGCCAGGCAGTATGCATTTGTCAGACAGTAGCCATTTCGCAAAATTTGGATGGCGTATTGGGTACTATCCAGGATGCTGCCTGGCCAATTTGATACTGTCTTTGCAGCCATCCCAAGATCTGTTTGGAGATTAAGGGAGCTGAGCATGTGGACATTTTTTGTTTGGAAACTTTGATATCTTTTTTGAAAGATCTAGATGACATGATATGGGCCCATGGAAAAACTGAGAATGTTGTCAAATAACGATTTCTATGGTCTTTCAATGATTTTTCAATGATATCAACAACCTTTCGACGATTCCCAACGCTCAATGACCAGTGATTTATGGTCACTCATACGCTAGCACCAACGGCAAGACGACAAACGACATGAAAAATGTGTGTTTGCTGTGTATGAGTGATTGCCCGTGGCACTGACCTGACACATCTGTGCGTGATGACGCCGTCTGGCCCTTCCTTCTCCTGCTGCAGGAAGATGAAGAGCTGCGGCACGGCGACCAGGAACGCCATGATCCACGCTGCCAGGATCATCCGCTTCGCCTTCCGCTCGGGGTCCGCCGCCACGTTCATCGGGTCCGTGATGGCCTGGTGCCGGTCCAGACTCATCGCTGCGACATACAGGAGAACTTTTATCATCATATTGTCATGAGAGTTTCATGGATGTTCATGAGTCTTTTCCGCCAGCTCTCCCTATCCTCCATAGCCCTGGACAGGTCTTCTGGTCTGCAACCTGCATCCTCCCACAATTGATATATGCAGGTTGTGTAAGGTCTGCCTACACTACCATGGCCATGTTTAGGTGCCCAGAGAAGAACTTTATTGCAAGACAATTGTACAAGGTACAACGCATGGCAACAGCTACTGAACATAGCACAAAAAACTATAGAACAAAACTAAAAACTTAATTACTAAAACAACAAGGGCTATAGCATAAGTCTTTGATGTAGCGTTAGTCTAGTGGGGCTAATCATGTTTTCATGTAGTTTTTCTACTAACAAAGCATTCTTTTATAATTTGACCTATTTTTGCATTGTGTGCATTTAAAGATACATTCAAATCTGTCAGTGACATGGACTTTCTTGAAATCTGTTGTACTTGATTCGAGAAGTGTAGATAGCTTGTTACGGTGCCGGTCCGAACTCATCGCTGCAACATACATGGGACTCATGACCAGATTCTGCTCATCCACGGGGTGGGAAACTTTAATATTCAAGCAGTTCTTTTCATGGCTGCAAAGACCATATCAGATTGGCAACGCTGTATCCATTTGCCCAACAGTTACCATTTTGCCACCATTTTAACTGTCTGGGAAATGGATACGGCCTGGCCAATCTGATACTTTCTTTGCAGCCATAAAAAGATCTGCTCGGCCATTGGAGATTAGGGCTGAAGATACGGTTATGTTAGAATGTTAGAATCTCTTCACACAATCGTCATTTGGTTTAAAATCACATCGAGTGAAACTTTAGTCCAATCCCATTCAAAAGACTCACGCATCATATTACGTAACGCGAGCTCTAATGTTGCCATTACATATTCAGCACTGATGAATACTTGATCTTCACTTTGAAACTGCGTCATACATGACAGACGCCCCGAAACTACGCCACAGACCTGAGGGATTAACTCATTGATAAGGTATTAAAATACATTTTTGTGCGCCACTTATCGTGTTCAGTCTGAAAGACAAATCTGGGCGTGCTTAGTCTAGTGTATTTGCGGAAATCGTGGTTTGTAAAGTCCATCTGATGATATGGGCTAATGGGTGATCTGCCCAAGTTTGAGAAACTTGGCAAACGAGTGAAAAGCAGACTGGTTATTGTTGCGAGGCCTGTATCCACGGAGATAACGGTCATTGTAGGAGTAATGTCCACAATTTGTCACAATTTCGCCGGCTGGAATTACCTTTCCTTTTTGAAATGTTAAGCACCGATGCCAAAGTAACGTCTCTTGTTCTTTCATACATAGACACATATCACCGTTTCTTGGCATGCAGTGGCAGTAGTTTGTCCAAGTGTAGTCAAGGGGCGTCCAGCAAATTGGAAGCGCCACGGTACACTGAACCTTATGGCTTGACAATACAAGGAACCCCATAACCAGATTCTGCTCATTGAAGGGTGTGAAGTGAGTTAGAATCACTTTACACATTCCTCAGTTGGTTTGGGCATACGCCAAGTTAGACTTTAGTCCAAATTCTTTCAAAATTCCCACGCATCATAATGTTAGGACGGGAAAGTATACACCAGGGCTCTGATTTTACTTTTAGATACTACTCTGGTTGGTGAATACTTGACCTACACATTCAAACTGCGTCATGCATCACAGAAGCCCCAACACTACGCCAGAGACCGAAACGATTAACCCATTGATAAGGTCTTAAGATACGTCACTTATCATTTTGATATGTATTCAGTCTGACAGACAAATGCCACTTACGTGCTTAGTCTAGACGGAAAGTGTATTTGCGTAAATCGTGGCTTTTAAAGTCCCCCTGATGATATGGGCTAATGGTTGATCTGTCCAGGTTTGAAAGGCCCGGCATTATGTCCCCGTGAGTGATAGACGCTGTTCTACGTACCCACTTATTGTTGACTGGATGTAGTTACAGGACTTACGTCAAGGGAGATGGTACTGACACTGACATTTTAGAATTGAAGCTTAGTTAGTGTGAAAACTTGAGAAGACTGGTTATTGTTGCGATGCCTGTATCCACAGAGATAACGGTCATTGTAGAAATAATGTCCAACATTTATCACCACCACACAAATTTTCCGGCTGGAATTACCTTTCCTTTTGAACTGTTAAGCACAGATGCCAATCTAATGTCTCTTGTTCTCTCAGACATAGAATATCAAAGTAGAATATCAAAGTTTCTTGGCATGTGGTGGAAGTTTTTTTTTAGTTGTAGCCAAAGGCGTTTAGCTGCGCACAAGATGGAAGACATATTTGTGACTAGGTGAAATACCTGATAACATTGATCGTTTTCCAGTGTGAAAATACAGGGCACACACTGATATGTATCTGAAAAGTGGATGAAGTTTTTATAGTCTCCTCCAGGTAAAGCAAAACTTAGTCTCGACGCGAGTTATGCCAGGGTTTCGGCGGCCGCCGCCTCACAAATATGCAAAGGAGGCTACGCAAAACACACATTCACGTGTGCCATGCATGACATATAAACGATAAAACCGTCTGTACAGGTTAAAACCATATGTAGAGGTGTGAAACACCACATAGACGATAAACAAGTGCTGTATAAGATGGAAACAAAACTTACCGGTGAGGATGAATGTTGTACTGGCCAGAGTGATGACCTGCGCGTACACGATGACCTTACAGAGGACCGGTCCGAGCACCCACTGGCCGAACGCCACGAACACAATCTCACTGGTCATGGTGACCAGACACACGCAGATGTCCCCGATGGCGAGGTGCAGGATAAAGATGTTGACTCTGTTCAGGCCCTTCTTCACCCCCGCGGCCGATACGACCAGGATGATGACACCGTTGCCGACCAGGTTCAGCACCATGAGCACCGATAACGTGGCCACTCGCTGGACTACTGGAGCTGTCCAGATACTCTGGAGGCCGCCGGCAGTGGCGTTCCACACGGTCGCCTCTGGCAGTGGTGCCGGGGTGGCAACGTTAGCTACAGGCGTTGCCGAAGGGACATAATCCATGGTTGCGTTGTGGATCATACCTCACCGATGAGGCCAACACTGAGCTCGTATCAGTGTCCGTATCAGCCAGGTGTCCGTATCAGTCCAGGCGTCTGTATCAGTCCAGGCGTCTGTATCAGTCCAGGCGTCTGCACAGTCCAGACGTCCGTATCAGCCAGGTGTCCGTATCAGCCCAGGTGTCCGTATCAGTACAGCTGTCCGTATCAGTTCAGACGGTACTGAAGGTCTGCAAAGTCAGTACCTCCAATGTTATTCTGAATCGTAGGCGGTATATGAACCTTTACCTTTGGATTGTCTGTGAATGCCGATGTGGTGCGTCTGTAGCGCAGGTTTAATGTCTGTGTTCTTCCCACCTCTCTCCACCACTGCTGTAACACGGAACAACAGCATTGCAAACTCCACAACTTTACGTCCAGAGAGTGGCGTATATCGAAAATGTTATCATATTTCCGATGTTGGCTGAAGAGAAGAAAGGGGCGTTCCCGCGATGATTTGACTAGAGGCTCACGTTGTTCGGCAGGAGTTGGCCAGATCTACTGCTATTCATTGGCACCGAGTCCGAATCTAATCCCCGCTGTTCTTGTCCGCCAATATATCGATCTCTTCTTAACTTGCGCAGTCATGAAGGAAGTTTGATACAGGTCCATTACTGCGGGTTCTGCGCGTGAATTCGATAAGCCTGCGTCTAAACGGCAGACTCTTCAAACCGCTAGCCAACGTTTCCCGGAGATTAGGACTTCATGATATCCCGCAAAATTACATTAAAAATGGATGTGTCATATCGAGTTTGTCCACGCTGTATCCAGTGAGGCCGATCTGATTGTGTAACACTAGCTAGTCAGCACACCCACGCCGGGATCCTACAGAACATGCGAAAAATAACACGGTAATAAATAACATGTTAATGAAATTTTCTAGTCACGGTTTCATACACATGAAAAGAATATGGACACAGCTTAGTAATGATCATAGCTAATTCATATTTGATGGATGTTCTTTCGACCGACATGCAAGAAAGCGATGTACACAGTGATTTGGTCCGAACCATTAACTAACATGAATATGGACGACGAATGTAAAGCCAAACGTAAATGGATTGAAAGCCATTTTTGCGAAGCATGGTGTCGAAGTGGATGTGGAAAACAGATGCCAAACCTGAACTAGAAGAGGCACCTTTTAGAGAGCTCGTGTGATAACTTTTTTTGCACAGAAACTCAGACAATTATACCCGTATTTTGTAACCCTGACCATCCGAGAAGACTTTGATTGAACGTAAAGGCGACAATCTACAAGGCCAAAAGGTCCCTTATGAATGTAGAAGCAATATTGCACTTGGTTTGAAGTCATTACCGTGAGGGCGTTTTTACCCTGATGATTACAACTTACTTTCAAACCATGTCCCATTTGTATAACTACAGCTACATGTACCAGACCAGGTCTGCTAGACGATGGTGTACATGCACGTTTCCGGAAGTTTACCACTTTTCAGGTGGAAAATTGGTCTTTCGATCGGTTACAACAAGATAACAAAGAAAATCAGACTGAGTGTCTTCCAGTAGTCGAAGACAAATGAAAGTGACACCGTGAAACGTGTCTCCACCCTTAGTCCTACTAAAACAAGAATATATGAAAGTACGTTCTGAAAAAAACGTGGCTATGAAAAAGCGTGGTCAGGGTGGATCTGAACATGACTCCGACCTTGTCCCCCACGCCTCTGCACCTTCGCGCGCTGGCGAATAAAGACGCATAGGTGTGGAGCTCTTCCTAACACGCGCTATGTATCAACGACGTGTTTCGGCTAGAAAAAAGTGTTTTAGCACCCAGATATCTGCTCTGGTGATCTTACGTAGGCGTTAAGGACGTCAGTGTACGTAGGTGCCTTCACATCTCGTTTAAGGCCGCTGATGTCATTGCCTGCGAACGTACGCAGTTCGTAAAATGCCCCATAGCCATTGTCCTCTGTACCATTCCCCATGTCGTGTGTCAGCGCGCATTCGGTCTTCATGCGTCACGCCATTAACACCGCAAATCAGCCGGCAGCACTCAGTCAGCAGGTCGTGTTCCCAACTCTCTGGTGTAAGGAGAAAGAGGTTCTTGCAATATCGTGACAGTCGTGGCTACAAAGACAGATCTAGTACTTTCACAGAAACGCTTTTGCTTTTGTGCACGCTAACATCTTTTAGCCTTCTCTGACTTACATCGCCTTTCTACACAGAGATGGTTCAAAAGAAAAACATGACAGTTCCAGATGATAATCAGAGTGAGAAATAACCTTCAAGTGTGCACTGCCGTGTCCCTCGAGCTTACCCATGCGTAATTTACCACTCAACCGTGTTTTACACTTTCATCCTTGTATCACATGAAAGAAAAATCAAAATCCAATTAAGGTTTTAGATTAGAGTGAGAAATAACCTTCAAGCATCGATTGCCGTCTCCTTCATCATCCATGCACAAGTCGCCACCCGCCATGCTTTATATATTGATCATTGTATTGTTAGAATGAATGTCAATAGAAGACGGCAAGAAAAGACAAACTATCAAAAGAAGACAAAGTATAAGATTGGCACGGCGGATCTCGTCGTCTCGCTCGGTAGTTCATTTGAGGATAAATCAATGCTTTGATACTAGATGCCAGCGGCTGGAGTCGTAAAACACCCACCTGGGATAAGTAAGTGTCATGGAGATCTATCCTTGCCATCAACAAGGCTCACGGTCAGCGTCATGCCGGCATCAGTTTACCTACATCTGTACCCCGTTACCACGACATTTAGGATTCAACCGACGCTTTACATCCCTGTGTTAGAAGCCGTTCTCTGTTTTCTAGCTTCTAAGAACGTAAGCTGAAACTGGGTAGCTTAAAGTGGCATCTTCTGCGCTCAACTAGAGCTCGCCTGGAGCAGAGCGCCACCTCCACAGGTTGTTGGAGCTGATTAAAAGTTTCTGGCGAGCGCGGCCACCAACCTTTTCAAGCGGCATGTATTCACATCAAACGGAATAAAGGGGCTGATCGGAAAACCACCACGGGGCTGAAACGGGTAGATTTTCAATTTTGGTTCCTGTCACACACGTAACACTGCCGTTGATATGTTAGGGTTTCTGACAGCTTCAATTTTTCAAGTCTGAGTTCTGTTCCGCTGTATCCGACCGGAATGTGAGATAATGGGCAGGAACCTAACACCTGACACAGCTCACGGAGCGTGTTAGGTACCTCATGTGGGGAGGGTATGAAAGTAGTTGTTGGGTGATGTTATATTTATACATATAACAACCTATCACTTAACTCTTGTGCCGACGGACGTCAGCGAAAAGCATGGTACAATAAAGATGTCGATACCCTGCATTAGCTCCCCTGCAAGCAGCCCCAGTCAAGCCATAGCATATCAGTAATACCGTGAGGTTCGATGACATTACATGTAAAGTAAGGTGAACTAAGGACATAGCATGTACCTGTATTTATATCATTCAATACTGATCCTTTTAAGACTAATCTCCGTAGCAAATGCCACGTGTGGTCGTCCTTATATGGGATTAATGACTTGAAATCCTCTTGCCGGGTCCTACGGTTCTGATGTTTGATTCAGATAGATTACTATTCAGCAGGGCCTGGAGGGTGACAAAGTTGCCCCTTTATTTATCATTCTTTAAATTTACTTGTAATTTCTGTTTCCTTCCGTTGCGTAAGGACTCTACTAAGGAGGGAAGTCTGTGAAGACAAACGGACGCACAGTGTGTGTGTTTGACTAACGAGGAGCCTCGCTGTGTAGTTGATAGTCTGAAGGATCTCATATGGCCACATTGCCGCACAAACCGCTGATCATGGACGGTCTGGCTCCCTGGAGTGTTACGTAAAAGTACCAGTATTCACTGATAAACATGCCGACGTTAGGTGTTGGAGACTGCAGGCAGTTTGGCAGCTAATATCACCTGAATGTCTCGTTATGTAAGAAAGTGTCTGTATACATTAACACAGCAGCATGCTAACGACCTCTCCTGGGTGCGAAGTTTTATGATGAAGTGCTACACCGTCAAAGTTATACTGATGAGCTCTGCTGAGTGTTAAGTTTTACGTACTCACACATGTTGACTACTACATGTACCATTGACTGTGCAGTTATGGACAAAAGCACACAAGTTCGTCTGGAACAGCCTGTTTGGCTGATCTGGCACGTAGGCGGTGCTTCCGACCCTCTTTCCGGGGGCGGAGGAAGTAAGGCCCGAAGACGATAAGGGTTCATGCTGCAGCCCCAACCCCAACGTGACGCCCATGTTGATTGCCGTGAGTTCCAGACGTGCATGGCACCATGAGTACCTGGTGTTTCATCATGACGCGCGTTGTGGCAAACATCAGAGCCAGACGGTATTGTGCCCAATTTGAAGAGCAAGAATCTGCCACTGCTGCGCTTACAACATAAGATATGAATATTGCAGGGTGCTGGCTCGACATGCAGACATGATGAAGCTTTAAGACTGTCTGCGTCGATGATGTACTGTTCCTCGTTTTATGATTAACTGTAGTTATTGTTCACGTAATGTGCGCTTGCTACGTTTATATGCGATTAGTTTTCATTTGACTTATGTATTATTCATTTATGTCCGTGTTTGTACATATTGGCCTATTGGAAACACTAGTATACCAATCACTCTCAAGATAGATACACGAATGAGCGAAGATGGTGTGCCACACACACGACGATGGTGACAACTCTTTCGAAGATCATTCTTCTGGTGACGTTTAACAAGAATTGACTGACAAAGTTTTACCGGTAAAATCTGTATTCTACAGCTTTCGTCCCATTTAACGGTGAAGGTTGAAGTGATTTGTGGTAATTTGGCTCGTAGAACCGCTTGCCTTCGTTTTTCTTGCGCACTGACACAGACTGCCCCCTTTCGATTCAAAGTAAATAGTTTCAAACTTTCCCATTGTGTAGACTCAGGGCAATCTCAGCGGTCAAAACGGAATAACGACATAGTTGAGAAATCTTCTATTGAATTGAACACCATCAGATGCAAGTAATCGA